TATTCAGCAGCAGTAGTAAACCATCTAGTAGTAGTTCTAGCAATATTTTGTCTAGTAGTCTACCTAGTAGTCTATCTAGTAGTAGTAGTAAACCATCTAGTTCTAGCAGTAGTAAACCATCTAGTTCTAGCAGTAGTAAACCATCTAGTTCTAGCAGTAGTCTGTCTAGTAGTAAACCATCTAGTAGTAGTAGTTTATTCAGCAGTAGCCTGTCTAGCAGTGGCAGTAGAAGTATTTCTATTAGTAAACCATCTAGTTCTATTAGTAGTAGTAGTAAACCATCTAGTAGTCTATCTAGTAGTAGTCTATCTAGTAGTAGTAAACCATCTAGTTCTAGTATACATATGATGTATGATGAAATATATTCTGGTGACTCTGACTTGACTAAGATGTTTCCTTTGTTTGCTGCTAATCTGATTACTTCTGTTGCTTTGTGTGTTGCTTCTGTTAGTTCTATTGATTATTTGCTGTCTAAGTATATTCCTAGGTACTCTATGAGTATATTCCTTCTGGTGTGCTTGAGTGCATCTTTGCTTTCTATTGGGATTACAATGAGAAGGAGTCTTTTGGTCTCTAAGTCATCATCAAATCAGTCATTTTCTTATGGAGTGTCATTGTGTGCATTGATGGTATCTGCTTGCCTTGGGGTCAGTATAGCATCTGCATGGGTGTGCACTGTTCTTAAGATATTTGGCTTGCACAAATAAACACTTAGATTACACTTTCACTTTAACACTTTTTACTTCTCTCTTGTTTCTGTCTACTGATACATTCTTACTGGTGCATCCTTACTCGTGTATCTTGAATTTTTGTGTTTTAAACTTGACTAATCTGCATATTTAGACTACTCACATATTGGATTTTTATGGGATCTTTGTGGATTTTTGGTGGATTTCTGATGGTTTTCTTGTGAATTTGTGTTATATGGAGTGAATTTCTGATGGTTTTCTAATGAATTTCTTATGAATTTGAGTTATATGGGGTGTGTTTCTAATGAATTTCTTATGAATTCTTGTGTATTTCTAGTGAATTTCTTATGAATTTGAGTTATATAGGGTGAATTCCCTGAAGTCTTCTATTATAACTACTTACATATGAACCTTCATGAATCCGCCATGGCTAATCTACAATAAATATAAATATACGAGATTAAATAGGATAAATATGCATTTCTATTTGTCTTACAGTATACTGCACAGTATATTCCTGTTGTACTTTCATAAATTCATTTTGTCTTGTTCTGCCTGGGTATAAATCTCTTGCAAAAGTATTTTTATTATGGAGCAATTTGCAGTGGATGACCTTGTAATTAAGTTAATGGCAAAGAGGAAGGAGGTCATGCACACACTCTACACAGCATACAGCCAGAAAATAGAGAAGTTTCTGCTGGATAATCCAGGGATTGAAGCCATGACAATAGAAGGATACTTAAACAGAATAGAAGAGAAGAACAAAGAGAGAGAAGAATTACTGCAGAAGAACATGCCAGAGAAAGAAAGAAAAAGAAAACAAGAGATTGAGCAAGATAAAAGAAGAAAGTCAATGATAGTCACATTCGATGATATGTCATTTTCATTTGGAAAGGAAGAACTAGAACAACTCTCAGGGAAGGAAAAACCAGTCGATCCAGAAGTGAAGAATATTCTTGAGAAAATGAACAGTCTCTTCAAGCAACTAGGGAAGACAAAAGAAAAGTAGATAGATGGATAATAAAGATAAAGTAATCTCATGAATATAAATATATTATGATTAATATCACATGATTAGAGTACAAGAGTGCATTTATGTCTACAGTGGGAAATATGTCTAATAAAAAGACAAAAGAGACAGGCACCCACTCTTATTATAGTTTTAGACTACTGTCTAATATCTCCTTTTGGAAATATAAATAACGGAAATATTTATATTTTTATGGATATAGATTTATTCCGGGTTGTATGTTTATACTTTTATTCTGGGTTGTATGTTTATACTTTTGTTCTGGGTTGTATATTTATACTTTTATTCCGGGTTGTATGTTTATACTTTTATTTCAAGTTGAATTTATTCTAGGTTGAATTTCTGTTTATATTTGGGTTATATTTCTATATGAATTGATGCTTATATTTCTATTCTCATTATGGTTATACTTCTATTCTCTTTATTCTCCTTATATTCCGGGTTATATTTCTCTTTGTTCTAGCTATATACACTCCAATTTACAACATAACTGTCAAAAAGTATGAAAAATTGAATATAACCTGAATTTATTAGCTATGTGCTGAACTGGCACTGAGAAGAGCACAGAACCTTCTTTACAATCACTTGCCTTCCATCTAGGGAGGTCTGATTTTTCAGAAGAATTCTGGGTTCGTACGTAAACCATTTGTTGCACAAGTCGCAGACCTTCCCGTTTTTTGAGAAGACGCACTCCTTCTGGAGCCATGCCCCAGGGCCTGGCATAATGTACGCATTGCATAATTGGTTTAGTGTAGGACACTTTTGTGGTACAATAATCTGCTCTTTTTCATACGGATTTCCACTTGCCCGCAAGGTTGCCAGTGCAGGAAACAAAGTAAACAGCTTATAAGGAATATTTCTAAGACGATTTTCGCTTATATCTATTATCTCCAATGGATACGTTGTACAAGGGTGCACTTGCATGTCTAATTCCTGCAGTAGGTTGTTTTTTACATTAAGATATCGCAGTTTCTTTAAGGAGAATATAGATGCAGGTATGTGCTTTAGCTTGTTGTTGCTGAAATCAAGCTTCTCTACCTTCTCTAGCTTGCTGACCCAAGAACCAAGTTCTTCTAAGTTATTTCTATATACAGGTAGAATTGTGAGTCTTTTTAATGCACCAAGGTCTGGGAGTGTCTTCAAGGCATTGTTCCCTAGGCCAAGTTCCTGAAGAAGATGCAATTTTCCCATTTCTGCAGGAAGTTCCTTAATTTTGTTGTTGCTTAAATTCAACCACACAAGCCTGGATAGTTTGCATATTTCCTTAGGAACTGTCACAATATCGTTATTACTTAGATCTATCTTTGTGAGATTTTTCAGAAGAGAGATCTGTGGGGGGATTGCTTGCAGCTTATTACTGAAGAATCCAAACTTGCACAAAGATGTCATCCCGAATACGCACTCTGGGATTGTCTCAAATCTGTTCTCACTGAGACCCAGGCCTGCTACATTCTTTAGATTCCTTAGGCTGTCAGGCAAATCTCTTAGTCTGTTGCGTGTCAGATCTACCCAGGTCAGATTTGTTATCTCACCCATTTCTTCAGCCACAGACTCAATCCAGTTGTCATTTAGTGCTAGCCTTGTTAAACTTGTCATGTGCTTTATCTCACTGGGAATATTTCTAATTCTGTTGTTCGAGACTATAAGCCAATTTAATGTGGGTGAAGTGAATACTTCTTCTGGGATCCTTTGAAGACCTTTTTTACCTATATCCAGTGAGAGTACCTTTTGCTCTGTCTGTGTCTTATTAATATAGCTTACTTTACCTCCCATTTTTTGTATCATTCTGTCTGCTTAAATATTCAGGCGAAACCTAGTTTCATTGCCATGGTGATTCTAGTTTGGCAAAATAAATAGACAGAAACAGAGAAGTAAAGTGCTTTTATTTGTCAGCGCATGAGATATTTGGAGTGGTGCAATGGGTTTGTTTAGTTATCAAAAAGATCTGGGTATTTTCCCATTTCTTTTATTGCATTTCTGAATAGATTTTCATCGATTGGTGTTTTGAATGCACTGTGTCCAATTACTTTTATGGAATCTTTTGATGGAGCACCAAAAATTAGCACTTTCTCGCCTTCGTATTCAGAAAGATCGTGCTTCATGGGTTCGTCCTCTTGGGAAAAGGATAAAGATACTTTGTAGTCATCTGCTCCTTGTAGGAATATGTCTTCTTCCTCTACTAATATTTCCCCTAGCACAATAATCTCCTTCTTGTCTGTTGGCACGTCTTTTGCAAGTTCATAGTACATGAAGGAAAGAAAAAAAAGAGAAGATAAATGGGAATATTCCAAGGACGTATAAATAAATAGTAATATATGGCAGAAAATGAATATAATATTAGGCTATGCATAGTGTATATAAATATGTGGCTGTTCATTTTGTTGTATATATTGTGTGTATGTATTTATGTCGTTTTTTATTGGGTTTTTACTGGGTTTTTATTGGATTCAAGATAGTTTCTGCTAGAACTTGCTGTGATAATATGAAAGAGAGTTTGTTTAGGGGTGTATATTGGTATGTTTATGTGTATATTTGGTTAAATTTGAGTGTATATTGGTATATTTAGTCTAAGTTTTGGTTGTATATTTGGGTAAATTTGAATTATTTATTTTAAGAGTTTTAGGAGCCATTTATGTGAAGCTGTGCTTGCTGTTTATTTTCTGAATATTTTTGTCTCTGAGTCTCTGGATATTTTTCTCTTACTCTTTGAGTTTCTTTGCAGTGAAAATAGTCAATAATAGTCAATAATAGACTAATACATCTCCATAGTATGGATCAATAATAGGCCAAGATAGACTAATAATATAGACTAATATATCTTCATAATATAGGCTAATAACAGGCTAATAACGGGCCAAATTAAATTCACTCTGGATTGACCCTTTCTTTCTGTCTGTGTGTTTATTTTGGCTTGAAGACTGTGAGTAAATTTGAGCTAAACCGGTCATCATCCAGTAGCTGCAGCGTGGTGGCCCATCCTCCGCGTATTCGAAGTTCTTCACAGAATCCATCAGGGAGTTCATTTGAGTATTGTGCTGAGTTTATGCCTAGCTTGCTTGTCTCTCTTACAAGCATTGCTGTCACCTCCTCAGATAAGATGTACATCTCATTCTGTCTTTCATCTTCTTCTATCTTAATTCTCTTCAAGTTCATGAAGAAAGAGAAGATCTCCTGGGCATGTTCTGTGTTTGAGTGGAAGATAGACTGGACTGCATCAACTATACGTGGCTGCCTGTACTCAACTGAGATCCAGCACAAGAATGAAAGAAGACTTAAAATTCCCTTTATATTCAAAACTATCGTAGTACGTTGGTAGATTAAAACTAAAATAGCAGAGAATATAAGACGTATCTCTGTGTCTGGGTGCTGTCTTATGCCGCAGACTAATCTCTGCTTGAAAAAGAGCCAATCCACGCACTCAGGCAGTTCTGATGACTTGCAAGAGAGAATGTACTTGAAGACAGTTCTTTCCAACAGGGCTGATCTATTACCGCACTCCAAGAAGTCCATTTGCAGCATAAGAAGCAATGTACCCCCAAACTCAAAAAGTCTTCTCTCTTGCTCTGCCACATCCATGCTTATATTCCCTAGGATAGACCTATTCTCTTCTATTCTGGATAAGTCAATTGAGAAATCCTGTCCTTCTGTGATGCATATCTGTCTGGCTTCCAAATATGCCCTAGGGTACCCTCCTTCTTTGTACTCTTCTGGTGCACCCCACTGCATAACTGCACTGTACTGTGCTACAGTTATGATTCTTGCAATTCTGTAGAAGAGTGCTTCTGATATTCTCTCTGAGAGTTTCTTCAGGAGAGACAAAAATGACACTGGAATTTGTCCTCTGCTATATCCCTCTAAGTGCATCAGAATCAAGCAGACTGGTGTGTCTTCTGTCAGTTTTATTTCTTGTTTAGTGGCAGACCCAGGGGAGGTGATTTTCTTTATTAAATCGACAGTTGGTGAATGTTTTGAGCAAGAAAATACTTCTTCGTACGTACTTAACCCCAGTGCTACTAGGGCACTTGCGCATCCTGTGAGTTTTTCAATGTCTTCTGGTGATTTGTGCACCATGTGAAATATTTCTGCTATAATCTCTTGTTGCACCATGGTGTTTGAGGTTGTTTTTGCAAGTGAATCCAGTACTGCCTTAATCATGGTTACTTGTGCTGCATGGTCATCAATGAATATGGAGAGCAGCAAGGGAATAAATATTTCATTTTGAGAATTATTTCTTCTGCATATAAAACACTTCTCTCTACTACTCTGTGCATATTCTATTGCTTCTGCTGCCAGGGATGAAATAACTGAGATTGCTTCTTTTCTTACGTCTCTGTTTGTGTCTCTGATTCTTTCCAAAATTGCCTGTTGTATTTCCTTTAGGTCCCTTATGCCTTCATGTGCTGCTGTCTTTAGTATTTCTTGTCTTACTTGTGCTGATGTATCTTGTAGTCTATTTTTCCATATAGAGACAGCACTTTCCCGGATGACTGCACCAGATGCAGATGTATAGAAGGTGCTTTTTGACTTTCTGTAGAGAATCTTTGGTACCTGGCACCTGATCCATTGTGATCTGTCTTCAGCAAGTGTTTCCACGTACTTAAGAATTTCTTGTCTTACAGATGCTTCTTGCACGAATTTCAAGAACTCCTTTTTGTCTTTGCTGCTTTCTGTTGCTTGCTTTATGGCAGCCACTGTGACAACTTCTTTATTCAGGGAGTTAAATCTCTTAATTATCTCTATTTTTGATTTTTTCGTTGATAAAATTATCTCCTTAACGGCTGGCATAAATAGAAGAGGGTACTTTTCAATGAAAAACCCAAGAATTGAAGACCCTTCTGCCACTCTCTTCGCTATTTTTAATTTTATTTCTCTCCCTAGGTCTTCTTCTTTTTCTTCCACTATGGACTGAAGCATCTCTAGACTCCACTTCTGGGAAATATTCAGGAGGGAAAGTTCTGCTAGATTATTTATGGTTTTTACGTCTGTCAGCAGGCTCACCATCCTGTAACATGCTATAATCTCAAGGATCTTTTTGTCTTCTGCTTGTTTTGGTCCTCTGTGAATTATTTCTTTGAAGAGCTCTTTCACTTGCTCCAGCGTAAATGGATTATGGGGCGCACCAATCCTTAGTGTCTCTATCATGGAATACAAAAGATATGGGGATTTTCTTGTCTTTTCCGTCTTGCCTGCAATTGTGATTTTGTGGCCTAAATAGTCTATGTCTTCTTCTGGTGCCTCTTGCTTTATGGCTGACAGGATTTTGTACATTTCCTTTGGGGGCTGTGCTGCTGCTGTGCGGATTTTGTTTTCTGGTGTCATGGGCTTAAAAACTTCAAAAAATATGTAGGAAAAAAAGTGCGCTAACCGGGAATCGAACCCGGGTCTTAACCTTGGAAGGGTTGCGTTCTACCATTATACCATTAGCGCGCACACTATTTTGTGCGATGGGACGCTCTCTGGGGAGGGGCTAAAGTATTTAAGTCTTTTTCTATTTTGTTTTCATGCCACGGCCTGAACCAAAGAGCACTGCAAAGCCTGCAAATATGTTTGATGATAGAGTAGTACGCCTGACTAAAACCGTAAAGCCCCAGAGTGTTGCACGGCCAATTCCTGGGGTTTCGTCTTCTGTTCTTTACAACGAAGAGACTGGCGTGCTGAAAGTGATTAAGTTCCAAAGTGGATTTGGGAAGGCTGTAAGGAGTGCCCGTGAAAAAATGAAACTGTCCCAGAAGGATTTGGCTTCAAAGATCAGCAAGCCTGTCCATGCAATTACAGACATTGAGAAGGATGATGCTGTGTTTGACAAGCTGATTCTGCAGAGACTGGAGAAAGTGCTGGAGACTAAGTTTGAAGCACGCTTTTCGCAGGGAAAGTAGTTAAGAACTGCATATTCCTGCAAGGCAGCTGTATTCCTGCAGGGATTCTTGGTCTTAAGCAGTGCAGCCTCTGCTACTGACTATAAGATAGAATGAGTGCCTTGTAGAATTCTCTTTTAGGCAGAAACCCAAAGAGGTCTTTTCTGAAAAGAGTGTCTTAAGAGGGACTGCCTGCATGAATTCTTTGAGAAAGATTCAATGGCATAAATAATATCTAATAAACAGCTATTTAAATTATGTCTATTATAGGGTGTTTAATATGGCTATATTTTCTTGTGAATTTAGTCTGTGTGTTATAAATATTCTTTGTGCTATTATGTTTCTATGGAGACTGGCTTACTATGGAGTATTTTTGTGCATTTTTGGTGTATTTTTGAGGTATTTTTGGGTTATATATGAACCACTCTAGGATCATGTACATCTTTAGGGTGTTTATGCATTAGAGTCTTTCTTAAATGGTGTATCTTTACTGTGTAGGCATCCTTTGATGGTGCATTTAAAATATTCTATTTCTATTTCGCATATTTAAATTGTTTAAATGGGGAGTGAATTAGTTTAAAATGAATTTATTTGGATATTAACACTCTGGCTTTGTTATTCCTATACTCTCCAAAAAATCAGCAGGCCTTTGATTGGCTCCCTCTGCCACTGCATCTAAGATGTTTTTGAAGTGCTTTTTGACCTTTTTCTTCAGAGATACTTTTTCCTCTAGCTTCTTTTCAAGATTCTTTTTTTCTGCTGGGTCTATTACTCTATTGCTTCCTGCAAATTCAGCGATCCTTGCCTGCTTTATACTTAGCTCTTTGCAGATTGCCTCAAATTCCTGCTTCATGACCTCGTCAGCTGGGTACATAAGAAGCTCTCTTTTCTCCTTTCTCATTGCATTCACCACTGCCTCTATCTCCTCCTTTTGCGCCTTCACCTCTGCTAATTTTACGTCTAGCTCTGGTGTTTCCTCGTTGTTGTCCTCTTCTGAGTGCACTGGCAGATAGACTGCAGTTATGCCTGCTCTTTTCTCTACGATTTCCTTGTCCTGTATTAAGTTCAGAAGAAGTTTACGTATGGTGGTCTGTCCCATTGCAAATGGACCTGTTTGGAAGTTGTTGACTATCTCGACTGTATTCAGTGGCTCATTTCTCTCTCTTATAAATTTCTTTATTTCTGCCATGTTTCTGTCCAGCATCTCATCCTCCACTTTTATTCTCTTGGCTGTCTCTTTTTTAGCTGCTCCTTTCTTGACTGCTGGCTCTTTCTTGACTGGCTCTTTAACTGGCTCTTTCTTGACTGCTGCTTTCTTGACTGGAGTCTCCTTTGGCTCTTTTGGTGTTATTAGTGCAGCTACGCTCCTTCTTGTTGGTTTTTTATATTCAAAGTACTCGAGGTTCTCTGCATCGAATTCATCTTCAGAAGGCTGTGCATTGCTTTCTGGGGCTTTATTTTCCTCCTCGTCTTCCTCTTCTTCTGGTTGTTCTGGCTCTTCTTCTTGCGACAACTCAATCTCTTGATCTGTCTCTTCATTTGGCATCACCTCTGGCTCTGTCTCGCTCAGAATAAGCTCATCCTCTGTGCTGCTTAATATAATGCTATTCTGCATGTTTTCTTCCTCTTCAGAAAGAACAGGGCTTCTTGCTGGCCTTCCTCTTTTTCGGGGGGATGCCGAGCTGCTATTGCTGTCTGCCTTCTTTCTTTCTTGCGCTTTTCTCATAGCCATAAATATTTTAGTCTTTGAAAATATTATTTCTCCTAAGACGTGCTAGACTAATTTCTTGCTATATGAGCTTTTTTCGATTATATGGGAGAAGCACGGATACGTCTGGGTGCTACACTTTATTCTCTTCTGCATAAGAAGTGCCTGTGTTTTTTGTGCTCGTCTGCATTCTAATTTATCTATTCAAACATGGCTGAAATTGGCACTAATTGAATAATAGGCTCTTTATGGTATATGCACTGTTCTTTTATGCTTACTCTACCAGATTATACTTCGTATTGATATGTTTATTTTTGTGGTTTTCTGTTTTAAAATCCTGTCTTATTTCTTGCGATAAATTAATGTAAATATCTTTTCTGCACCTTCCTGTATTCTCAACTATTATATTTAAGTCTTTTGTGTCTGTCATTGAATATTCAGATGGTCTCTAATTTTTGTCATTTTCTGAATTTCCCATGCTCTTCTGTGCTTTTTGTTTTTATTTTAAAATAAACCCATACATAAAATAACTATAGTCATAGAAGTATGAACATGTTTAATTTCTCGTTTAAGAAAATCAGAAAAATATAAAATATGCACAGATAGAACTAGCCAATTAGCAGATTCAGTCCACAAAATCAATATATAGCCTTCTTTCCGTCTCCTGTATGTGCATTCTTCTCCTTCACATAAAGAGCATATGTCTATTTTAGGCAGCGCATATGCACGCGCATGCAAAAGCCAAAGAATTCGGGTTATGGGTAAAACATTTATTATGTAAACTATTTCCGAATATCAAGAATGATTGGTCGTGGGTCAGAGCTGCACACAAGCAACGTGTTGTTTTTTGGAGAAAACTCAATCTGATAGATTGCAGCCCCAATGTCAAACTCCTTCACCAGCTCGTTTGACCGAATGTCCCACAGTTTCACCACAGGATCAAGCCCACCTGATGCCAGAAGGGTCTCGTCCTTTGAAAAGTCTACTGTGTATATGGGCTTCTCGTGGCCTATCAGGAAATTCAGGGCTTCTGATCTTTCTGGCGACCAGAGCCCTATTGTAGCATCAAATGACCCAGAGGCAAATATGTTTGTTGCACTTGCAATGGAATACACCTCCTGCGTGTGTCCTGTCAAGACATTCAAAGGATCCTTTTCCTTGAACTTCCATATCTTCAGCTTTTTGTCGTCTGAGCACGAGATAATTCTCCCATGCATCTCTACCATGGAGTTTATTTCTCCATCATGCGCTGCCAGCTTGACTATTTGGTTTTCCTGGCTGTGCTGGTCTATGCACGCAAGTGTTCCATCTGCGCTGCACGTCATAACTCCCTGCTCCATTGACAGAATATCCATAATTGGTCCTTTGTGAAGTGGCCAGGTCTTTACATCTACAAGTGAATTATTCTCCACCTTCCATTTTTTACATAAGCCATCCCATCCTCCTGTCAGCAGCTCCTCACCCTTCAGCGAGACAGCAACAATCGGCCCCCTGTGGCCCTGCTGTGCCTTCCACTCTTTTCCATTTTTGCTCACAAAAAGCTCTCCATTATGCGTTGTCCCTACTACAGTCGTAGCCTTCTTTGTGCCCCCGAAAATAGAGTCTGACTCAATTGCTACCCCGGTTATACCGTGGGCATTGTTTTGGTTAATCCCTACCTTCCACTCTTTTCTTACATTCGGCATGGCCCACAGCCTCAGCAAACAATTCTGGCTGCCTGTCACCATTTCTCCATTCTGCGCCCATGCACACAGACTTACATCGCTTTCCTGAGACTCTAAGTACACAGGATGAATTTCTATTTCCTGATCTATGCACATGTGAGGCGATGATATGCTGTATTTTGATGTGCACTTTCGGATTCCAGTGGCCATATTTGAGTGTTTCTCAACATATTCCATTTCTATTCCTTTTATTATATAGTGCTTTAGTGCGTCTCTTTGAAGCTGCGGCACTGCGGGGTTGTCTTCTATCATGCTCTCGTGCCCAAATACATACGATGCATGGGAATATCCCTCTTCTATAAGATATCTATAGACCAGATAGTTCAGCTCTGTGCTTGTCAGTGTAATCATCGGAAAAAAATAGTAAGTCTTCCACTAAATATATTTCAATAATGGGTACGTTAAAAAGACCAAAACACACAGAAAAATACAACACAAAAAAACCCGAACCCAAAATACCCTCCGTACAGCCAAAATTACAACCCACAACAACCCCTCAGTAGATCACACAGAATCCCTTCAGACCTAATATTCAGAAACCTAGTTCACACAAATTCACTCACTCCCAGAATAAACACAAGCACTAAAAATACCTTCCCTAATATGTATATAACCCTGAATAACCCGAATAACTTTATTCTTAATATATTTTGTCATAGTATTCTAATAAAACACGAAAATAAAACAGCAATAAGACTGTATTAATATACGGAATATTCTTGTGAATAGAAAGTATAAGTTTGAAATTATAAAATTTATTTGTTATGAGAGCAGGCGATATACTTAGACTAGTTCCCATGGCTGAATTAGTCTTCTGCAATGAAGACTTTGAATACTACAATGAGATTACCTTCCGAGAATTATGCACTCAGGCCCTGCAAGCCATATATCTTCTGACTAGTGCGTATATGGTCTGGATATCTGTGTCTATTATCTGCAACACAAAGGCCCCTATTGTGGTTGTTCTAAGTGAAAGCATGTACCCTGGGTTTGACAGGGGAGATATTTTATTCTTGGCTAATGTAAGAAATAATTACTATGCTGGGGATATATGCGTATTTGAGCTGGCAAAGGATGAAATCCCTATTGTCCACAGAGTAATAGATAAGAGATATTCCATGAAGGAAGTTGTCCCAAAGGCAGAAAACAAAAAGGATCCAGTGCTTAATCACTTGCAGTACATGACAAAAGGAGATAACAACCATTCAAATGATACCTTCCTGTACCGGGAGAAGAACATTAATCTTATAAATACAAGTCACATGAGGAATATTGTATATGCAAGTTTCCCTTTATTAGGGATGGTGACTATTTGGGCTGGGTACTGGAAGTGGGTTAAGTATGCGGTTATTGGTATTCTTGCTATGGATGTTATGTTCACACGGGATAATACATTGAAAATAGCTAGGTTCAATGAGGCACAAGGGAAAGAAGAGGAAAAGGAAGAAGCAAAAAAGGAAAAGACCCAATAATTTGCATATAAATACTCAGAGACATACAAGGTGCTCTGTGTATCTGTAGATTCCATGGGACAGCAACAGACCTGAATGCTGCAATAAAGTTTCTCTTTAAGTTTTTGCACTTTCATTCATAGAGTCATAGAAGGATTTCTTTGTTTTTACAAGATACGTGCATAATTATCTAGTGATTGGCAGGCGTAAAGGGAGAAATATTTCAGTGAGAAAGATATTAGTATAAGATAGTCAGTAGATAGTATAAGATATTTATCAAGGGAGGTTTATTTTTGTCACTTAGATGTATTTATTTCTTGTGAAATATTTCTTATTCTTGGTGAATATATATGTTGGAAATATTTCGTATTCTTAGTCAGTATATTTAGTCATAGTGAACCTTTCCTATTCTTAGTCAATATATATGGTGAGTATATTTAGTCATAGTGAACCTTTTCATATTCTTACTGAACACACGCTATATTCTATTAATATTTCATAGAATTACATCTAGTATACGAAGAATATTTTATATATAACGACTATTTTGTGGTCTTAGAATAATTATATGTGGGGTTTACCATAGACTATATTATGGACCTGTGTCTTGAGTGAAATATTACTCTTTGGGCTTGTCAATTCTGAAAGTGTGATTTTCTGAACTCTTCTGAGTAAAATGGAAGAGGCTTCTCAGGGACTAAGACAGGATTGGTTTTGTGCTCATTGATATTTCTGTTCCATCCAACGGCTGTTAAAAACCTGGTTCTTTTCTGGGTTTTTGTAATTTTAACTGATTTCTGCGGGTGCAATGAGAAAGTTTCTCCAATTGAATCTACCACGCACATATTTCCTGTGCATATTCCTGTAGAAATATCAACAGAAACCACCATAATATGGTCTCCTGCTGTAAGTGACAGGCCGCTATATGTAAATTCAATCTCTGCTGAAAATACTGTTTTTGTTTGGATAATTGCCTCAATCCTGTAAGAGTCCATGGAAAGTGAAGAGATGTAGAAATTTCTGGAGATAAATAGTTGCCTTGGTGTAATAAATATGGAGACTTCTGGGTGTGCAGAATCACTGCATATAAGACCAATGACAGGAATCAGTGGATCTGAAATTTGAAGAAAAGTTCTTATCACATTCTTATCAATCTCAAACAAAAACGCATCTTCCAAAGAATTCACAGAAATCTCATGCGCACCTGAACTTGCGCCCATAGAAATTTCACCTTTCCCCAAGGGTGCACTATCAGCCAGCTGATATCTGTATCTCCAGTCTGTCATATTTGTCCAGTCCTTGCGCTCTGCTTGTTTTACGATAAAAGGGTGTCTTACGTCCACTCCAAAAACTATATTTTCGAATTCCTTCTGGATGGTCTCTGAGTCTACAAGTAATTCCCCTGTAACTCCACTTTCCTGGCCTAATTTCCTGCATATATCCATGGTAAGCCTATTCTCCAATTCAATCCACTCTTCATCTGACCTTTTTTCGTGCAGTAAATTAACTGACTTTTCTGCACAAAGTAAAGAGTGCCTAAGAATAAGCGCAGTCCTAAAGAAATACGTATAAGATGAAAGAGTACCCGTATACGCAGCATATACATTCTCTAATGAGACAGGTATTTTTGTCATTTCAATCACTAAATTGCACGGTATGAATACGCAAATAATCCCTGACTTAGAAAGAAGAGAGTGCGTCTTAGGAAGTGAAAATGCATACTGAATCCTGTTGCAACTGATAATTTCATCAAGAGACTTAAGGATCTGCACTAATTTTGTCTCTCGCTTGAATTTGCTGCGATATACCTGTCCTGTGTGCACATTAAGACAGACTACTTCAGTTTCAGACAGTTGTAAAAAAACGGTTTTATCAGAATACCTGAACAAAGACCTAGGATTAAATAAAGAGGTTTCTGCTGCAGTATTAGAGTACCCAACAAGCCTAGATGCTCTGTTCTTTAAGACCTGCAAGGCACTTAAGTTCAACAGAGACTGACACAGTGATTTGCTAATTAAATCAGAGACTTCTATGACTGATGGGTCAGTGGCTTCTACAGAGTATTCACACCTTAGTAGATCTACTAGGACAATGCACCCAAATGGAGTGTGAGAATATTTTGAAGCAGACTCAGACATATACTGGACATATTCCTTGCACTCTGACTGTACAGGGACTGAGTCAATATCACTCCATCTGAGCCTAAGTGCTACCCAGGCAGAATTAAGCACCTTGTCCCTGATTTCGAATGAAATGCAAGGGAGAATATTTTCACTAAGTGATGTCTCTGAATTTATAACTGAAATTTCCGTTATATTATGCTTAAGGATTGCTCCTTCCAAGATACTGATTATTTGCAGGACTATTTGCTTGTGTATTTCCTGCCATAAATTGCTACTGAATAATTTCTCATAGCTTAGTCTAAGTGAAGAGAATTTTCCATGCATGGGAATCAGTGTCTCTGGGATGGGCGTATTGTGTCCCACGTTTATTTTGCTGCGGTTTATAATGGGACTCCACCAGAGCATAAACATTTTATTTGGGAGCCTGGCTGTTTCGCCTATCTGCGCCTTTGTCCTTTGTGCTGTAGAAGTATTCGTCTGTGTGTGGCATATAATTTGCTGCACAATAAGTGGGTCTTTATTTTCATCTTCTACAGTTAAATTTGTCTCTTGTGTGTTCCATGCTTGTCTGACAGTCCTGTATAAAGTGGCGTGATATTTTTGTGATTTTTCTGGTGAAGAGACAAATTTAACTGTAGAAGATTTCAATGAAAATCCATTTGTACTGTGTAGTAATGCATTATATCTTGTCCATATGACCCAGTATCCATCGTGCACCTCGTTTGTCCATCTTTTTATTCCGGATGAATTATAATTTCGAAGTCTCCATCCTGTCTCACACCTGTGCATCTTTGATTTATGCATGAAAGCATGCACCCGTGGTATACCTGCGTGTTTTATCTGAATTCCTTCATTTTTCAGGTCATTAAATAACGTATTTACTGAATCCATTATATTTTCAGGTTTTCCGTTATTTAAAACTCCAAGTATTCTGCTGTACAGTGACTGCGAGAGTTCTATTTCATCTGACCACGTGGATATGCTCTTAATAAGAACAAGATGAGAAATGAAGCCAAGACCACCCACATCCTTTCCTGAGTAGAACATCACATTAGGGAACCTTTTTTTCATCTGCGTATTCACTGTCGACATAATTCTTCTTTTAATCTTTTCCTCAAAGGCTTCAATTACCTGAAAAAAGTCCGTTGTAAGAGTCTCTCGGAAAAACAAAATATTCTGAGTCACCAGGCGGTTCCACCTGTCTACTGCAATTGCAAAAGAGCTTCCTGCTGTGTCATAGTATATCTTCCTGGCGCACAACTGAAACTGATTTAGTGCTTGCTGTGATGCCTGAATTGAAGCAGATTCGTGTGACAGGCGTATGTCAAAGTCACCAGCAGAGAGTACAACAGGGAATGCATCTATTAGGGTAGAGGAGAGTGCAGACCCGAATATATTCTGTATATAACTTCCTGCAGTATCTTGTGATTTTTTTAAATAGGAAAAACCCGTTGGAAACTGATTTGTCTCTCCATTCACTGCAGAGAATTCTTTCAGAATGCTTTCTTGTGGATCTAAATCATTTATAATACAAGGCACAGAGAGACCCTTCAGCCATTTCATTTTTAAAAGTTCAATTGAGAATAGATCTTTTGTATGTAGAATGTACATGGTACTGCTGCATCTAAAGTACTTAAGTACTGCACTTTCTGCTTCTTCTAATAGAAGTACATCAATTCTTTGCAAAATAATTTCACTCACAACCGAATGAAATTCCAGTCCCTTTGATAGACCAATCCTTTGCATCGATGAAATATCCTTATACACAAGCGTACATGCACTCTGTGCTACAATATATTCAGATATGGTTTTGTCGCATATTTCATTAAGAAGAATCATAAGAGAGTCTCTGTCTATTTCATTCACCAGATTCACCAAATTCACAGAGGAAAAGTACACTTCAGAAGGACATGCTCCAGGGACTATTTCTTGGTCATGTCTTTCTTTTGTTATTCTTTGCATCTCTTTTGCATATTTCATAAGGGTGACAGGCAATGGTTCATCATCAAGTGGTAGTGTTTTTTGTGCAATTCCTGAGATATGTATATGGTAAGATATAAGGTGCTCTAAATATGCATCTACTACTCTTTCTTCAATTGAGTATTTTTTGGTTATATCTTGTCCGTACTCTAACAGTATTTTTACTGTCTCTTTTTTTTTTGAAATTCTTTTTGTCACCCAGGCGAGTGTCTTAGGTAAATCTACTAGAGAATTTCTCAGAAATTCTACTTCTTTTTTTTCTTCTTGTTTTAGGTGTCTTTTGTATGTACTGGCTAGCTTATTCAAGGAAACTTCTAAAATATCATATAAAGTGTCTTTCTTGTAGGTTTCTAATGCAAGAAGATCTTTGTTCTGATCGAAGGAAATCCGTTGTAAATCTATTGGTTGTTTTTTCTCACCTGAAAACTCTTTTTCCAAGCATATTCTTTGGGTTCTTTTATTCAGAAGCATTGCAGCCCTGAGCATCCTTGATTTTATCTTTCTAATTTCCTTTTTATTTGATATCTTGCATTGTACGTACTTGTTCCATTGTTCTATTGTTTCTTTACACCAGAAATTACCTTTTTCTTCTATCTTTGATATAAGTATTTCATGAAGTCCTTTTATGCTTTGGTGTTCTTTTAGTGGAAAGTACCTTTTGTCTGCTTCTTTTCTTATGTACTCCTCATAAGAATCTTCTCTTTTCCATTGCTTCCATGCGGATTTCATTATATTCTTAAGGACCTGCTGATTTATCTGCTGTAGATCGACTATTCCTGAGATTGCATCTAGAATATCTTCTTTAAACTGGATATCTTCTGCTGACTTGACTCTTTGCTTTGTTATTTTTTTCTGTCTTTTTCTTCTGCCTTCTCGTCTTCTGACTACATAATCTGCCAGTCGACTTGAAAACAAAGGAGCACTCCCCAGAAGAAAAAGTGTCCATATACGCCATGTCTCACACCACATCAAGTCATAAGGTACTTTTGTCTTTTCTTTCTGCAAGCTAAGAATTCTTGCTATTTTTGACATCTCAGAAATCTGCTTAATTGTAGAGTACTTGTATCTGTATATGGCTGTATTTACGCCTATCTGAGTGAATTCCTGGAATAAATACTCCAGTGACTGGTGCAAGGTAATTTCCTTTGAGTTTTTTTTCTCAATAATCCAAACTATTCTGGAAAGCAGTTTGAAAAGTTCTTGTACAATGTGAAAGGTCTGTCCCATGCGACTTTTCTTTTTCTCCTTTGTAGTAAGAACCCTTCTCCTTTCAAGTGCATAATTATCAGAAATATTTAAGTACTTGATTTTTCTTTCGGTTATAACGTAATTAAGTATATTTCTTCCATGGTGCACGTACAGCCTAGCAAACTTACTCCATTCCATTGTGCTTTCAAACTCTTTTTTCGGGGATTTATAAGGACTTTTACTGGATATTCCTGGATTATTCTGTTTTTTCCCATGGGATCTCTTTCTTTTTGTCTTTTCCCTTCTCTGTGTTCTCTCTAATATGACACTATTACTCTCTCTAGACATAACCCTTCTTTCATCGCATTCTTCAGAAATAATTTCATGGGAACCTGCAAATGGAGAAACTATGTCCTTAGAGAAGTCACGTGCTCTGTTATAAAGAAGAGGGAACAGTCTCTCCTTATTTATTTTTCTGGATATTTTCATCTGAGGATATTTTTCTCTTAGTCTCTTATACTCGTGAATTGTATAATTACTTCTTTTAACACTGTATATAAGACCAGACACAATCCCATCTAAGATATATAGCCATTTACACTTATAATTTAGACTATCTTCACTGTTTTTGCTTTTGCATCCTAAAATTATCCCATCTGTATTGTATGCGCATGTGACAGTCTTTTCAGTTTCCCATGGCATGGGAATTGACTGGATTAATGTTGCGATGATTTTCGGGGAAATAACCAGACCATCCAACAAGGCATTCGGGTTCCTTCTGGGTGGGTCTGTAAGCATCTTCTCCAAATATACGCCAGGAAGAGGGACTATCCCATGAAATACATCTTCATTTGTGTCTTTCATTGTAAAAATTTAAATAAACCAATTCCTGTTATATTTAGTCAGCATGCTACCCTACAGTGTATTCAAATCTACTGAAAAATACTCCAGACTAAATACACTGTGAATACTAAGGTGGATTCGGGTTATTCGGGTTAATTTTTGGGAAATCTTTTGGGTTATTGACATTCCCAAATAGGGGAGAAATTTCAGCCAAGAAATATTAGTCTAAGGTAGATAGTAGATAGTAGATGTCAAATGAGTTTTATTTATCACATACTTGAATATCTAGGATTACTAGGATTTCTTTTGTATTTCTGTTGAATATATTTCTTACTGCTGTCATATTGCTGCTTCTATTAATATTCTCTTACAATTAGTAGGTAGTCTTCTAGTATACGAAGAATATTCCGGAAAGTGAAATATAATCAATGGACTCATTGAGTCCCAGAATAATGAGAGATTTTACCACAGTCATTCTAATTTCAGGTTATTTTCAGGTTATATACACATAAAGTACACACAAAATACACACAAAAACAACAAGTTTCCAGTGATATAACCCGAATAAAGAATATGTCATTTTTGTTGTAGTTCTATCCACACGCTATAATCCTTCTATATTTATAATAATTTATGACAATTTATGATATAATATGCTTATTCTTAGTCTAATCTGTATCTGTACACTTTTTATTTTCGAATATTTTTAAAGAATAAGTCTCCCTGAGTATATATTCTTTGAAGGGTTTTATTTAAGCAAAAATAATAAGAGCAGATTGATATGTAAAGAATTCATTAAGATGCAAATATTAAGAACATAGTAAAGCCACACATCATTATTACCTGGGTATACGAGTCAATTAATTTCACTCTGGAATATTCTTCGTATACTAGAATACTACATTGCATGAAAATATTAATAGAAGGCAGTACATGGCAACACTAGTACAAAAAACCACAGTCATCAAAGATATTCCAGTATATAATATAACTCGAGATATCTTAACAAATATCTACTATTTGTTTATATACTACTATCTACTATCTGTTTATAGACTACTATCTACTATCTTTTTACAGATCCAAAATAATCTATCTATGAATATATCTATGAATATACCATTATAGTGCAAATACTAACGTAAATTATATCCATATTATAATATACTAATATATTCAGTAATAATTGGTAATAATTAATATATTCTAACAGGTATTTTTCACATAATAATTAATATGGTATATTCTAACGTATTTTCATATAAAGTACTTTAAATTTATTCCATGGTACAGTTAGGCAGTAATGATGTACCTGTCATTTCCTTTGGAATATTCTGCTGCATAAGATCAAGAATGGTAGGGGCTACATCACAAAGAGCTCTGTCCTTGGTGGGTGCAAAGTCAAATTGACCATTTCCCTGAGACAATTCATCCTTGTAGTCTGTACTTCTGATGATTATAACGGGTACTCTGTTTGTTGTATGTGACTTAACTGTGCCCTTTGCGTCTTTCATTATTTCTGCATTCCCATGGTCTGCTGTAATCACAAGATTGTACCCGTGCTGCTTTGCTGCACAGTAGATTCTGTATACTTCATTATCAACAAACTTAACTGCATCCATTGTGGCTTCAAGGGAACCCGTGTGCCCAACCATATCACAATTCGCTAGATTTGCAAGAATAAAGTCATCTCCACTTGCAATACTACTGCAAACAGACTCTGCAACTGCAGCTGCCATCATCTCTGGTGCTGCATCAAAGGTGTGCACCTTTTGGCTCTGGTGAATAATTCTTTTTTCATGCTCCCTGCAGACATCTTTCCCACCATCAAAGAAAAATGTCACGTGAGCTTGCTTTTCACTCTCTGCAATGCGTGTTTGCTGCAGACCTAAAGACTCAATTACATCACCTAGTGCATTATTAACGGAAGGCCTTTCAAATAGAACTTTTTCAGTTTTTTGCTCATTGCATACTCTTGTCATAGTATACACATTCCCATAACTATTTAGTCTATTGTATATTTGCTTGATCCTGTCAATCCGGAAGTTAGTCAGGACTACAGTGTCACCCTCTTGTATTCCATGGGAAGAACAAAATGGCACAATAAATTCATCTGTGATACCAGAAGAATAAGAAGAATTAACGTGTCTTTTTATGTTCTCTAGGCACTCTCTTCTGGAGAGACTTTCAGTTTTCATCTTTTCAGGTAGTTCGTTTTTTCTGTTTGTGATTGCAGAAAGTGCTTCCTCCGTGCGCTCTTCCCTTCTGTCACGGTCCATACTGTAGAATCTGCCAGAAACAGAAACAACCAAAACATTCTCAGGGACACTTTCCATCAACAGATCCAAATATTTCAGGTACTCAGAAGGACGCGTATCCCGGCCATCTGATATTGTGTGAATATATACAAAATCACAGAACTCTGCAACTAAAATTGCCATATCCCGGATATCCATCCAGTGGCCATGTATGCCTCCGTCTGACAAAATCCCAAGTATGTGAATTTGAGGCAGTCTAGTACCACTTAGGAACAATTTCTCAGCTAAAGACAAAGGATCACTAGAGAGTGTCTGTCTAATTCTTACACTATCTTGTTGTACAATTCTACCAGAGCCTATTGTTAAATGCCCTACCTCAGAATTTCCCATAGACTCATCTGATAAAAGACCCACATATCTCCCATGCGCATACAACAAGGCACTATAGTACGTCTTACACAAAGATTCCATATACTTTGGTCTCCCTAAAATAATCCCATCTTTTATTTCTGGGTTTATTTCTTCATTGTATCCCCATCCATCCAGTACCACTAGACAGCACTTCTTCTCATTTATTTTAATCTTCTGCATTTAATTAAGTGCTAATGAAAATATTTGTATTAAATGTTGGTTATAAACCTAGCACCAATTGATCAGTCAGGACGTAGTCTGGCCATAGCCCAGTATCTTAAGAAAAACAGTCACTCAGTTACGCTTGTATCATATAAAGGGGCCAGGGATTATTCTGGCCGAGTAGAAGACAAGTTGAATATTTCTTATATCCGGAATATTCCGACTAGAAATAAGCCCATCCTTGTGAGACAGATACTTATTCTGATTAAGTTCGTATATATATCAATTATGAGCATGGTTCACTTGTATAAATACAGGCTTAATTTGCATACGCATGGCTTGAAGGAGTGCCTGACTAATTGCAAGTTCTATAACAAAGGGGGCACTGTGATATTTGTTGTACCACCAACTCTAACTGTCATATTTCCATTAATATTCTCAAAAATACTGGGAATTAGAGTGATCATAGATTGGCACAGAATATCCGTTGGGTTCATGGAAATATTTGACAGGCAGATTGCCAGGTGCGCAGAGAACATAACAGTCACATACGACATGCAGAAGTACTTTATTTCTCACAGAATTAAAAAACCCTTTCTTCTGACGGATATTCGCCTAAGGAAGGCACTCACTAAGAAGGAAGAGACAAAAGACAGAAAAGTCTGTAAGAAGAAGTTCTTTGCATATTTATCAGAGAAGTATACGGAGTACAAGGAGAAGCTAGATTCAATAAAAATAGGTCAGCAGATTGGAATATGCAGCACAAGCTGCTCACAGGAAGAGAATATTGAAGGATTTTTGGAAGAGTTGAATACACTTAATATACCACAAGGGGGTGTACTATTTATAACGACAAAAGAGAAAATAGAATGCAAAAATAAAACACTGCAAGTGATTCAGGTATTCCTGGATTATAATGATTATTTAGATCTCCTGGCAGTTGCAGACTTCGGAATATCCACTCATGTCTGCAGACTTGATTTTCCGTTGAAAATAGTAGATTACATGGATAGTGGTCTAAAGGTACTGGCTCACAGTAGTACACCCAGCATAGGAAACAAGAAAGACCACAGCAGAATAATCAGATATACAAATAATATGAATATGAGAAGGTGCCTGGCCAGGTTATTCTCACAGAACAAAGGAACCATGCGAATTGAAACAAACAAAATAGAAGAAGAGAGTAAAGGGTAAGACAAATATACTGCAGTAGTACAAATTAGTCTAAATAATCATAATAAAGCGTATGTAATAGAGTATTCTTAATATTCAGAAGAAAGAGTACTGCAGTAGTACAAATTAGTCTATTTTTAATGGAAATATATTTAGAAGATGGAAAGAAGACTCTAAAGACAACAGATCCATAGATCCTGGGTAGTAGGAATATGTGATTTATCTATATTTCTGCTGGAAATTAGTCTAGTAGAGTGAATTATAAGTATATTTTATTCTGTATATGTTTATATGCACTGTATATATGTCCTTTTTACTTCATGTTTATTCTCTTCTACTGTTCTACTGTTCTACTGTAGTGCTTTAAATTCTTCTATTTCTGAAATTATTTCTGTTGTACTAACACTCTTGTAGTAGAAGAATAAAGAAGTATTTAGTCTATTACAGTACGTATTTAGTCTACTTCGGGTTATATTTAGTCTATTACAGTATGAATGTGCATTAAAATAAGTCAATATAGAATATTAAAGGACAATGAAATTTATTCATGATTCATGCAAGAGAACAAGTATATATGCTAGGGTTAATGTGCTTGTATATTTACATATTTTTGGTCTAGCATATTTTACTTCGTATTTCGTACCCATAGAGTATTTTCGTACCCATAGAGTATTTCTGTACCCATGGAGTACTTCAGATGGACTTATTAATACTCTTACTGCAGTTAGACTAAATAGACTTATTACATTTAGGATTACTTCCATTTAAATCATCAGATAATTCACCACTGCCTGCATCATCACTTGTATTATTTCCATTCTTACCAAGAGAGAGTTCTTTATTATCCATTTCACGGAAAATCAATGAATCACTAGATTTATCTGGACTCATAAACTCAATTAGTCCTTTCCTTTGCTTTGCTCGAATACTAAATGGTGATTCTTTATGGATAATTAATGAAGAACTACTGCTATCATCTCTTTGATAAAATCTTCCTTTTACATGTAACAAAGGCTTTCTTCTGGTATTTTTGTCTTTCTTGGTTCTGTCTGCATTATCATTTGGATTCTGTTCATTTTCATCAGGTGATGGACTCTCAATACTAGGCAATTCATCCAGAAGCAGTGAAGTACTAGACCTATCATCTTCCTTGTTGCGATTTGTTCTTAAGGGTATATATTCCACATGGTTTGATCTGTAGACTCCCTCACTACTATAACTCGGTTCAAATAGTCCTTCATTACTATTATGATTCTGTTCAAAGAATTCCCTTACTCCTTTGTTTATTCCTTTGATTATTGGGTATTTTAATCTTTCACATACAATATTGACTATTTTATCGATTAGATTATCACTTATCTTTATAGATTCATTAGTCTCAGGGTCATTTAGTTCTTTTTCTTCATTTTTCTTATCAATTTCATCTTCTTCCAAGAAGTTCTTTCTGACTTTCCACTTTAAAAGGGCATCTTCTTCATCTGCAAGTTCAGGATGTTCATGCTGCCACTTCAAGAAGTCATTTTGTTCTTGTTCTGATAAGAGGTATTTAGCTTGCTGTAATAAGGCATTTCTCTCCTGGACTGAAATGGCATTTTCAGCTCGCCTGAATAGAGACTCTTTAGTGATATTTTCACTTATACTCGGAATATTTTCACTTCCATTGAATACTTGGAAATCTCCTATTGGCTCTGGTGTAGTACTATGGATTGGACTGGAATTTGCTTCATTGAGATTATTTATGGAAGATGCAAGAACCCCTACTAAGGGTATATATGAGACTGTCTTAGTGTATCTGACTAGATTTGCAGCTATCACGCATATGGAAGAGATTAGAGTACTCTTAAAGGCAAATGATCCTAATATAAATCCTGCTATACTGTAGTATATTATGCTAATATCATGTGCCATTATGCAGTAGAGTATAATTGTATGAAGTACAATAAGAAATGACTTTATGGATAGTTCTTTCTTTGAGGCTTTCATGATACTTTTGCAAATAATTCAGATTTATATAGGAATAAGAGCGGGAAAGATCCCGCCTTTTCCAAAAAATATCTAATCATTTTTTGTCACTTCTGCTTTAAACCATGGAAGTGATAATAAAAGTGAAGATGCAAGATGGAACTAATAATAGATCTATGTGCTAGTAATACATGGTAATAAGCAGGTCTAATTCATGTGATACTTTAATATGGCATATTCTAACGGAAAATACCAAGAATAAAAATGTCTCACTAGCATATTAATAGTTCACAGTAGTAATACTAGACTAATTAATTAATGAGTAGATAAGGGATAATGGCTACCCTACTAATATATCTGACTAATTAACCAGTGACTAATTAATGACTAACTAGTGACTAAATAACTAAGAAATATTCACTAAAAATATTCACTAAAAATAATTAACCACTGAATAACTACTGACTAACGATTAAATAAGCACTAAATATTCACTAAATATTCACTGACTAATGACTACTAAATAATTAATGACTAATGACTACCCTACTAAATATTTACTGACTAAATATTTACTGACTAACGATTAAATAACTACTAAATATTCACTAACTAACGATTAAATAACCACTGACTAATGGCTACCCTACTAAATAATTAATGACTACTAAATATTCACTGTCTAAATACCCCACTATATCCTCTATATACTAAATATACTATATACTCACTATATACTAATTAATTCGCTGCATATAAAAATAATTAATTATTTTCCTACCATGCAAACAAAAGAAGTACCGCACTTGCAAATATCCACAGAGCACTCGTATATACATATAATAAGTGCTATAATTAACGTAAAAATAGATATATTAAATGATGATACAATCTTAACAGATGAAGGCAAGAAAATAAAAGGACCTGCCAGGTGCATCTCGCACTTACTCAGAAATACAGACGTAGATGAACAGACACTCACTAGCATCTCAAATGTAATTTCATTAAGACCACAGCAGATGCTGGCTTATGTAGCAGCAGGACCAGCAGAAAGAATAGATAATTTATTGGCAGTTGCAAAGATAAGAAAGTGGTTATTTGAAGGACAAATTACAAATAAAGTATCTGACCATTTAATTAACAAATTAATAGAGATACATGACAGGTACCAAGATATATATGTAAAATATACTAATGAACTGTATATACATAAGGACTTAGTCAGGCCCATTGCAGAATTCTACAAGATAGTCATTCTATCAGGGAGGATAGACTCTATTATGGACCATCCTGAGGCAGACACACTTTTCATTGAAAATGTAGACTTTAAGAATGAGAAAAGGACTGTAGTCAGTGGGTTGAAGGGTAAATTTGAGAAGAGTAAATTATTAGGGGCCTGCTGCTTGTTTGCCGTTAATTTAAAGTCAGTTTCCTTCAAGGGCACAAAATCCTTTGGGATGATATTATTTGGGAAGGGAGAAGGAAGTGGGTCTGTCATATTCACAGGCAGCAATGGGAGTAGACTAGGTCTATTAAAGTATCCTTTGTGCAAGTTGGTGCCATTTGATATTTCAGTTGGAGATGCATCCAAGAGGTCTCTAGAGGTATTCTTCCAGGGTCTGAATATACGGGGGAGTCAGTTGCTGTATAATGGCCTGGAGACAGAAATAGATGGGGAGACAGTGACTGTCCAGGATGTGGAGAATGGGATTGTCTCATAGACTGTTTATTGTGGGGTGCATAAGGCAGTCTGTAGTGGGTTATAACAGTATTTAGTCAGTCAGTAGTGGGCTATTAGGTTATAGCGGGATTTAGTCAGCTACAACGGTATTTAGTCAATTATTTGACAGTTATAATAGTATTTAGTCAGTTATTAGTCATTTATAACAGTATTTTGTCAGTTATTTATCTTAAAAATGACCATATATATCTGCACTTAGCCAATTACAACAATATTTAGTCTATATACTCATATATAACCGTATTAAATAAATATTTAGTTTAATAATGCGAAGTGTTTAAGACCAGACTATTTAACAAAGCAAGAAGATACAACAAGATATAACACGAACAAAATCTATCATCTGATTTATTTAATCACCATACCGTATATATCCACTTATAATGGATATAACCAGATATAACCAGAATATTAGTCATTTTTGGCTTCATAAAATCACTTATAACAGTATATTAGTCACTTATAACACATATTAACCATTTATAACATATATACCCATAAACTAACAGTATTTATAACGTATATTAGTCACTTATAACAGTATTTATAACGTATATACCCATAAACTAACAGTACTTAGACCATAAATATAACGTATATACCCATAAACTGACAATATTTAACTATATATCCTGTAATAACCTCTGTGTATTAAATAATAATCATATCTGCAATGCATCAATCCATGCCCTCTTCTCATCATCCCCTAGCACTGCATTTGGTGCTGTCTTGAATAACCCATCAATTACAACAATCTCTGTGCTTGTTGTTTTCGAGCCAACAAAGCACGCGAAGTCATTGATCACCAAGCCAGACCCTATTACATCTGAGCCTTTGTTCACTGTCCCGGGTACTACCCTTACATTCAAAAGATCTGATAATTCTGCAACTTCCTCAGCGGATGTCTTAGAGCTAACCAGCATAGCCGTATTATTCATAGCTGCATACGAGCCTACTAAGCCATTCTCAGCTAAAGCATACTTAAATACATCTACGCCTAATACGTCTGTAATCATATCCACAGTCTCAGAAGAAACATCAGGATGCACTAGTGCACTGTTGTCGTTGCAGACAATAATATTTCCTAGGGCATTAAGACGCTCTTCAATACGCCTGACCCTAATGTAATTAGGAAGGGAATTTCTTAAGTGCTGTAGTTCTTGGTCTGTTGTACTGGAAGAGACAAGCAGACCCTTTGAATTTCCTACTGTCTGTGTGCCTGCCATTCTTATGCCATTAATTGTCGTTTGTATAACGGGAATATTTAAGACTTCTTCAAATGCAGATACAAAATTAGTGTTATCTGTGGCTGCCACTAAAGCATACATATTTGTCATCCTTACGAATGCGCCTATTTCTTGGGAGCTCTCAAAGCTTATTCTTTGACTCATAAAAAATTTGCAAATCTGCGTATTTATTTAGTCTTATACTGTTGGATTTGGGCGTATACTGTTATATTTAGTCGTAATTGGGTGTATATTGGTGTAAGTAAGTGTAATTAGTCATAAACTAGTGTATATTGGTTATATCCTGTTGTATTTAGTCTTATACTGTTGTAAGTGAGTGTATATTGGTGTATATTGGTGTATATTGGTTATATCGGGTTATATTTAGTCATAATTGATTAATATATGGTTATAATTAGTACTATATACTGTTATATTCTTGCTTTCGGGTTATATTTAGGATATTAATATGAATATTTGTGTATTAAGTCTTGTCATTTTCAGGAGGGGGTGGAAAAAGTCTTGGCAAGTTTATAAAAAGGGGCGTAAGTCTTGGAGAAATGGATTAAGTCTTGTCATTTTCGAGAAGAAGTGGATTAAGTCTTGGAGAAGTGCCATAAGTTCTGGTAAAGTGGAAAAAGTCTTGTCACTTTCGAGAAAGAGTGAAATAACTTAAAGTCATAAATATAATGTACTAAGGCATAATTCACTATAACCCGAATATAATTCACAATTAATTTTACTGTATATTAAATGTGTATTACTAGATATGGATATATTGCAGTTAATTTAAAATAAATTGACATGTTAATTAACTGGTTTAATTATTCTGGAACTGTCAAAATGACTTTTATTTGGGATAAATTAATTAATTATTCAGCTGTAGATTATCTTGCATAATATGTGCATATACTAATAATAGTCTAACTCACATAACCCGAATTACAATAAAATTAGTCAGAAATACAACGTAATACGACTAATTATAACAATATTTCACTTATAAACACTTATACTACAATATACTACTAAATACAACAATATATAACCCGTATAACAGGATATAACTAATTACAACAGGATACAACAATATACTACTAATTACAACAGTATACAACAATATCCACCAATATCCAACAATATACTACTAAATATAACTAAATATAATAATATACTACTAACTACAACAATATTCACCAGTATCCAACAGTATACGACAATTAAATATCCAAATTTATTCTCTACTTCCTGTAATATTCATAGAACCTGTACAGTTCTGCCTTGATTGCCTCTGCATCCTTTATGGGCACTATTTCATACTGCGTAAAAATGACAGTCTGCAGGAACAGCATAGATCTAAATACATATTCTGCCATGGTGGGTTTTGCAGTTTCTGCAGAGAGCCCTTCCTCTAAGACACTTATATCAAAGCACTTTGCACAAGGCAGCCTGCTCCGGTTGTCTTTCTTGGCATCTGTCTGATTTTCTTGCTGTTTATGCGCACTGCATGTGATCTGTCCATTTAGTATGGTCTTAAGCCTCTCTGCCACGTACTTAAATTCCTTCATCCATTTTGTCTTGTCCCTGGGTGACTTCTTCTTCGGGTACTCATGGAAGTCTAGGGCGTAGTAGCCTCTTAGTGTCTCTGAGATGGGTGAATTATTTGACTCTTTCACTTTCTCCTGGGCCCTTTCTTCTGCTTCATTTTCGTGTTTTGTGATTTCTTCTAATTCTTTGTTCTGTCTCTCCAGTAGGGCATTTCTCTCTTGCGACCACTTGAAGAATTTCTCGAAGGCAGCTGGGTCCACTGAAGAAATTGACACGCCATAGGAAGATGTCTCTAAGAATTCCAACATATCTTCTAGTTCTTGCTCCTTTGTGGTTAGTGCTGTGCTTGCTAATTCTGGGTCATCCTCTGCATGCGGGTGCATGTCAATGGGTGTGAATGTTTCTGGTTTTGGGCCTGGCAGTTCTAAATGCGGGGGTAAATTACTGAGTGTAGAGAGGTGCAGGAGTGTACTCGATAGAGTATTTGGTGTCTTAATGCCCCATACGCTGGATATGCTTGTCTCTCCAATTCCTGCAATTTCTGGGGCTAGTTCTGGCTCTGTCTTATTTCCCAGAAAAGACTCACTCTCTTCCTCTTCGCTCTCTATGCTGTCGTATCCGTATATCATTCTTTCAATTATCTTGCTCTTCTCTTCTTTCTTCTTCTGTATTAGTAGTTCTATCTCTTTTGCACGTTTTTTCTTGAAGTGCTCTTTAACTGTCTCTGCTGCCCCTCTGTTCTTAAAGTATTCTTTTACCATTTTATTATATTCATGCTTCCAGTTGTTTGAGGTAATCTTAGCATAGACCTTTAAGTAAGCTGCAATGAATGAGGTTTTCTTGAGGCCGTACCGGGTCACTGCGTTCAGTAAGTGAAGACGTGTTGTTGTGGTCCACATTCCGTTCTAAAAAATTTTACGTTGCACTTTATGCTATAAACAAGCCAAATATGGAATAATTAATTTTCTTATCACTTTCATGCGATCATTTTAATATTCTTTGGGATAAAATTATCCTGTCTTCTTGCGGTTACGTAAAGATGAAAAACTTTTAGAAAATAGAATGCACATTTTGCAAGAAACACCGGTGGGATACGCACTCTTTAAAACTATGCCAATAGAATTAGAAGAAGTAGTAAGATATGCAGATACATCAGATGCAGTGAAGTCAATGGAGGATGCTTCAAAAGGCACACTTTCTAGTAGAATATTGAGTATTCTTGTGGACAGAAATGTAAAAACACTGGGACTAGCAAATAGTAAGCTAGCAGACGTAATTGAAGGCGCATACAAAGAGAAGGAGAGCAGTGTAAGGCTTGTTGTAGGTGAAGAAGTAGATGAGTGCATTAAGGAAATACACAGCAGACTCCCAGAACTCTTAAATGTCACAGAGAAAGAACTCAGCAGATGCTCGCTTCTACTAGCACACGCACTCTGCCGGGAGAAGTTGAAGATGACCCCGCAGAAGAATGACATGGTAATTGTGCAAAGCATCAAAGTGATTGACAGATTAGACAAAGACATAAACAATAAGTGCATGCGGATTAGGGAGTGGTACGGGATGCACTTCCCTGAGGTGGGTGAATTATTAGAGGACAACCACAAGTACTTAGAAGTACTCCAGAAGCACTTAGGAAAAGAGAAAGATGAATTTGCAAATGACGGGTCAATTTCAGATGAAATCAAAGCGTGCTTGGAGAAGACAATTGGGGGAGAAATAACAGAAGAGGACCAGGCACTAATTAGAGAGTCTGTTGAAACTGTTTTGGATATGTTTGCAGCACGTGACAAATTGCATGATCACTTGCACAGCAGAATGGAGAGTGTAGCCCCAAATATGCTTGAACTACTGGGGGCCTTGCTGGGTGCCAGAATTATCTCGCACGCAGGCTCACTGACAGAGCTAGCAAGACAGCCTGCTTCAACTGTGCAAATGATGGGCGCAGAGAAGGCCCTGTTTAAGGCCATGAAGGAGAAGAAGAACACGCCTAAGTACGGTATAATATATAACTCTACGTATGTGGGGCAGGCCCCCATAGAGATAAAGGGACAGATTGCCAGGACACTTGCCTCAAAGATAGCCATTGCCAGTAGATGCGATGCCTCTGGGGAGGAAGAGAAGGGTGACTACGGCGTGCGTGCCAGAGAGGAAGTGGAGAGAAGAATCGCAGCCCTGACGCAAAGAAAGAAGAAGCAGCAGGCATCTGCCCCACAGGCAGGCAAGTTCGCTATGAAGAGACCATCCGCAGGGCAGCACTCTTTCAAGAAACAGAAGTTCGCCAGATAGACCATATAGGCAGATATTAAGAGAGTCAGTTATTGGTTAATAAATAGCTTCATAAGAATTGGGGTATTTTTGTGCATTATTATGTAATTAGTGCTTAATTAGTGAATAGTTAGTGTGTTATTAGAATGTTTAATTAATTCTTAATTAGTTCGTAATTAGTGTGTTATTAGAATGTTTAATTAATTCGTAATTAATGTTTAATTAGTCTGTTATTAGTTAAATCGGTTATAGTAGTTTAATTAATTTTTAATTAGCGCGTAATTAATGAAATCAGTTATAGTAGTCTTAATTAATTCTTAATGAATTTGTTTAATTAGTCTGTAATTAATTCTTAAAGTAGTTTAATTAGTGAATGTAATTTATCAATTTCTTGCTGCTGTCTATGAAATATGTGGAAGTGCACTTCTATTTGGCACAAAATAAGAAGGAGAGTGTTCTTGTACTTCTGTATGTAGGAGTGTGCTAATTATAAATTCATTTATTATTGCATTTATACGTATTATACTATAATAAGTAATTGTGTAAATTAGTTTGGTATACATTAAGAATATAACCGAATATAACAAGAAATAGTAGAATATTATATATCTACTAGTAATAAACATATTATATCTACTTTACTATTTCACTACTAGACATATTCATATACTTCACTACTAGCCATATTCCCCTAGTGTATTTTCACTACTAACCATATTCTTCTCTCTACTTCACTACTAGACATATTCTTCTCTCTACTTCATTACTTCACTACTTCACTACTAGACATATTTTACTCACTACTTCACTACTAGACATATTCATATACTTCACTACTAGACCTATTCTCCTAGTGTATTTTCACTACTAGACATATTCTTCTCTCTACTTCTCTACTTCACTACTAGACATATTCTTCTCTTTCTCTCTATACTTCAGTACTAGGCATATCTTATGCCTCTGGTGGTAATACTATCTTTTCTATGCGTATTCCTGTGCTACTGCATACTACCCCGTATTTATGTCTGTCATGTGTCTCTGTTTTTATGCACTGCAAGACACCGTCATATTTTAGTCCTTCAACTGGCTCACTTAGTTCTACAATATAATCAAAGTACCCGTACATTATATCCTGCAATAAATATACAGGCACAGATATAATGCACACAGAATTAGTAGAACGCACTTTCTGCCTCAGAGACAAAAAGAAATTATTTGCATCATCTTCTGTCATATCCCAGAGGGGTGACATAAATGAACTAATTGACAGTCTTGTGTTTTTATCATTTATCTGTAAGTCTTTTATCTCTTGGATATTTGTTACTTCATTGTGCTTTGGGTGCTGTACTCGCATGTTATACAAAGTGTGGCTTGTTATGGCAGAAGTATTGCTTATCTTTGAGACAGTGCTGTATCTCCATGCAATTCTTTCCTTTGGAGAGCATGCTGTGCTTTTTGAGGGGGCTGCGTCTGCACTGGGAATAGACAGAATGGGATTATCCATGGAGAGGTGAATGACTTTGTCATTTTCCTGGAGACCATTTGAAATGAATATTCTGTGTATGCCTATGTGATATCTCACATTTTCCTGTTGAATTAATAGTAGAATATGGCCATTTCTTATTCCTCCCCCTAATAATACGTCTAACTCTGCAATGCCTGTGCTCTTTCTCTCGCTCTCCCGGTTTATCTTCCGAATGAACATTGAGTAAAAATATTCAGCAGAATAATAGAAGAGAGTGGGAATATTTTTAGGATATTCAATGCATTCGGGTTATGGGCAGGAGAAGATTGCTGCTGTAATTAGTCTTAGTGTGTTGTATTTGTAACTAAATATACTCAGTCTATTCCAGTTATATCAATATATTCGGGTTATGTATGCAGGGCATATACGAGTATATCCAGGCATAATATGGTGCTGTGGTTTAAGTATAGAAGTACAAGGGATATTCATAGTATAATTTCAATAAAGAATATTTTAAGTCTAAGAAGCATGTATATTCGGGTTATAAGTGTAAGTTAACTTATTATGTGTATATAGAAGGATATAAGATAATATAGCCTAATATAACCAGAATATAACCCGAATATAACCAGAATAGTCATAATACACTCTAATATAAGCAGAAGTAGTCAGAATGTAATTATAATTAAGCTAAAGTGGTCTGAAATAGTCGTAATATATTCTAATATAGTCTAAAATAGTCATAATATACTCCAATATAAGCTGAAATAGACGTAATATAGTCTAATATAAGTTAAATAAATATAATGTAATTATAATTAAGCCAAAGTGGTCTAAAATAGTCATAATATAAGCTAATATAAGTACATTATACCCCGATACAACCCGAATATAAGCTAAAATAGTCTAATACACTCTATAAATCATATATCATATACTTCAATCTATCATATACTTATTTGCCCTATAGGATTAAATAAATCACCCCTTTCCCTCTCTCTTCACTTTCTTCACTTTCTTCACTCTTTCCCTTTGCTGCCTAATTATGTCTAATTAATTTTTATTATTATGCACATAGAATTTACACAGTACAGAGAGGCTATGCCCTCCATGGTACAGCTACCCAGACTAAATTATACATACGAAGAAGTAAGTCATATTATGATACCAGAGATGCTGGATATGCATTACACTAAGCTGCACCAAGGATACATTGACAGATACAACAAGGCACAATCAGTTATGCAAATGACACAGCTCATATACACTCCAGAGAAGGAAGAAGAGAAGGCCCTTTTATTTAACCTAGGGGGATATTTAAACCATGCTTTATTCTGGAAGTCATTCAGTCCTGCAGAAGAAGCGCATGTTCCATCTGACAGGCTGAGCACCTTAATTGGAAACTCCTTCCCTAAGGGCCTCTGTCAGGAGATGGTGGAAATACTTCCAAAAATAAGGGGAAGTGGGTGGATATGGCTGACATATTGCAGAACCACAGAATTACTGCAATTAGAGACAACCATGAACCAGGACTTTCCAAGTACACCAATCCTGTTAAATATTGACTTATGGGAGCACTCTTACATGATGCAGTACAAGATTGACAAGGTCGAATATATTCGTGCCATGTACTCAGCACTTAATTGGAAGTATGCATCAGAGAGATTGGAAAGAATATTAAATGAATAAAAAATACTTTATTTACGATGGAAGTAGAATTACTGCAGGCCTGCAGAGAGGCACATTTGGATGAAAGTTCTATTCTTTTGGCAGAGCACATATTTAGGAAGGAGCAGACACCCCGTGCATTTCTGGGGCTTCTTACAGTTCTGGCAGAGACAAATAAGTACGAGGCCGTGAAGTGGCTGGTGCACAGAAGGAGGGAGTACTTTTTGTACGAAGAGATACAAAGGATCTACATTGAAGTTATGAAGAGACTGGGTGAGATATCTGAGATAGATGCATTTATGATGTCAAGCAAAAGGATTGATGAGAATGAGTGCATGCAGGACACGGAGGCAGGGAGTCGTAACTGTGCGTATACAGTGGACTGCCAGAAGACAGAGGGATATTCTAGTGTAGTTGGTGCAGATTATGCAGGGCGTGGGTACAGACCAATTAGCAGGCTTTCTTTGAACAGCTACTACCAAGCACTTATACAAAAGGGAAGTGAAGAGAAGAGGAGAGAGTGCATTGACAGGGCAATAGAATTTGATGAGAGAAATTTGGAGCCATACATATACATAGGCATGACTAAGTCGTACAGTGAGTTGGAAGGGTACATTGACAGGGTGCAAGATGCATCTGTTAGGGAACTGTTCAGAACCCTTCTTTCCAGCAGGAAAGAGTCTTTCTCACTTTTCTCAAGATCATTTCATACACCATTTTCATGCTGCAGGATTGCGAAAAGACTCTTCAATGAGAGACAGACAAGTGAAATATTTCAGATTGCACAGTACACGGCATCTGTGTATCCATCGCACTACTTCACGTACATTATATCTGGGATGTATTATATACTCATTGGGAAGCACGCAGATGGTAAAAGAGCCTTGTTTAAGGCCCTGCAGCTGAATAATTCGTATGGGATGGGGTGGATTCTGTTGGGATACTGCCAGGCATTCCTGTGCGAGAGCAGTAATGCAATTGCATGCTACGAGAAGGCGGAGGTCTTGATGGAAAGCACTGGGTACATGCCCTCCCTTGGGATAGCCCTGGAGTACCATAGAATGCGAAGTTATCAAAAGGCAGAAAAGAAGTATCTTGATGTTCAGAAGAAGTACGGCATGGAGTACTGCTTCAATCCTTATGTATCCTTGCTGGTTGTGCAGGGACGATATGATGAGGCACTGCAGCTGATTGCGGATAAAACATGCTCTGGGGAAAGAGCCCTTCTTAAAAGTGCCTGTTATTTGTTCCTGGATGAAACAGAAATGGCAGAAGAGGCCTTGCAGGATGTAAATATATCATACCACAGCAAAACGCAAAGCAAGTACTATTTGCTACTTGGCTACATACAGCACATGAAGAAGAAATATTGCGAGGCCATAGAGCTGTACCAGAAGGCTATTCTAGACCCATCTAAGCCTGCTGGTAGTTTAGTGAATGACCTGCTGGAACTTGCAATAAAGAACTCGCTGGAAGAGAATAATAAGAAGCTTGTGATGCAATACAAAGAAGATGTATTTGACTTCCTTGATCTGAAGGCAGACCTGCCTTTAGTTCTGTGAGGTGCCTGTTAATAAAGATGTTTAAGTGATCCTATTTCGAGTTATGTTATGTTATGTTTAACTGATAGTGTCTCTGTTATTTTTGACTGATAGTTATGTTATGTTATGCTTAGATAGTAGCTCTGTTATGTTTAGCTGATAATTCTGTTATGTTATTTTTAAGTGGTTCTATTATGCTTAGATAGTAGCTCTGATATTTCTTACTGCATATCACACGGGAATTATTTGTGCTTGTATGCATGTGCTTGTACATAAAGTGGGCTGTCCTGCAGTAAAGTATTTTTCATTTAATTTCTTGCTTTACTTTTGTGCCTTTTTTCTGGTTATATCTGGTGCACTCCAAGTTGAAATAACTGCACTTAATTAGCACACTCTTATAGGGATATTTAAGAGTGCACAGATGCAATGGCCTGAAATATCAAATTTAATTTTGACTCTGAGTACTTTCACTTAGGAAATTTACGGTTATTTGCAAGGTCTTATAACATGCGGGTTTCTTGGTGGTTGCAAGATGTAAATTGAGCCATCTTGGTGGATTCTTGTGATTTGGAGTAGCCATTCAATGGAAGCACTATGCGTGCTATAAAAGAAGCAGAATGAAAAATTTGGATGCAAAAAAGCCTTTTTGTCGTCATAGAAGGAATTGACCGAAGCGGAAAGTCGTCCTTAGTTGCAGCCTTGAAGACAAGTCTGGCATCGCACGGTGTTGTAGCAGATGTAATAAGCTACCCAAATAGGAAGAACATGACTGGAATGCTAATATCACAGGTTCTTGCAGGTGATAAAGAATTCACAAAAGAAGCAACGCACCTGCTCTTTTCAGCTAACCGGTGGGAGGATAAGGAGCGAATTGAAAATTTAATGCAGCCATGCGAATACACTCGGGTTATCCTGTGTGACAGATACATTCTTTCTGGTATATCATACTCCATTGCCAATGGAATTCCAAAGGAGTTTGCCATGGCATCTGACAAGGGAATGACTCTACCCGACCTGACCATATTCCTTGATGTTTCTCCAGAGACCGCATCTGCTCGTGCAGGGTTTGGTCTAGAAATATACGAGAAGAAGGAGTTTCAGCAAAAAGTATATACAGAGATGAAGTGCCTTTTGGACAAGTACAGGCACACAGTCATTCCATCTGAAACGCAGGAAGAGATGCATAGAATTGCACTGAAGCGTATTTTAGATCTAATTGCAGAATGATCTACTGTAGGAATATTTATGCCCTCTATGCGGGACTGCATAAACATGTGATCATGTGTGCAGTAACCTTTGAGTTAATTCAGGCTGTGCAATATGCACTGTATCGTGACTTGAAGGCTAGCCTTTATTCCTTGGGGTAAAGGATTTTGTAGCTGCTGGGCTGTCTTTAGTGCGCACTCTTTCAGGGCGTGCTCTTCGTATGAAGAATAAAGAATAATATTTGCAGGTGCAGTGCCATAAATAAAGCCAGTTTTATTACTTAAGCATTCAGGAAAGCAGCTTGCATACTAATTTGTCTGCTGAATAAACAAAATAATGCATCTTAGGCTTCTTTTATTTAAAGTGATTAGTCTTTTATTGCGAAATGCGCTTTGGAATATTTTCACTTGCTCTGTTATTTGAGTGTTCTATTATGTCTATTATTCCATTCTGTGGCCTTCTATTTATGGGGCTTAAATGGATTTCTGTAAACAAATGGTGCTAAATCTACGATTATAACAGTCTAAATGTACTTTTGTTTATCCGGCGGATTGTCCAAATATTTAACTATAATGGAATGGAGTCTTGCCTTACTGCAGTTATACTATCTTAGTCTCTTGGCTGACTTTAATATCTTGGAAATCACTCGAAACATATTGTGTGTTTCTGGAAGATTTAGCTTTATGAAGCAATCGGATAGAGCATCAATATAGGAAAGAGCAAATCCCTGGGGCTCTATCTTTCCATCCATCAGAATTGGATTTATATTTATAAAATCACTTTTTTCAATGTCTGCATGATTTTCGGATAAAAACTTCATTAGTTGCAAGGTTCTAGCTTCATCATTGCAAATCTTTGCTGCCTTAATGTAGTTTAGGTAGATGCAATCTAGAAACAACTTGGGCTGTCCAATTTTATTTTCTTCACTTGCAATAATGTCTTTGTTCTTTTTCTTGCTCTCTTCGTCCACACAACTATCTCTTATGTTTTCTATTCCAAATTCAGCTGTGTTCACTCCTATTCTGATTTCTATTGGGCGGATTCTCTCTTTATCATTCAAATATATCAATAAAATACAAAATACACTGCACTTTACTTCAACTACATCTTCTACCTTAATTATATTTCTGACTATATTTGCATGTTTAATGCTCGCATGTATAGAGCCATTTGACAGATCAGCAAACAAGCTTCTCATGTATTCTCCTATTTCTAAAATAGTATTTTCATCCTCTTTTGGGTTGTTATAAGATAATTTTATAGAAAAAATCTCTAAACGCAGCATATCTCTTTCGTATACGCCTGCTAGTTTTGCAACTACAGCCAGGATATTTAGTAAGTGATTTTCTAAGTTGTTTCTGTTTTCCTGCGTATATGTAATTAAGTCAGCATCTATGTCTGCAACCACTTTGTTCCAGTCGTTCTCTATTTCCTGGGTTATTTCTGAGAACATATTCCTGTACTTCTGGAAGAACCATTTTAAGTCCTTTAAGGCCTTTAATAAGTGCGAGATGTCAAAGATCTGGTTGTTCGGGTTATATGCAACTAGACAGAATAAAAATAGAATAACGGTTTCTGCATAGTTCGGATTGCTTTCAAATATTATTATATCCTTATGGCGCACTGGATTTATGTATATTGCTTTGCTAATTGGTATATGTGTAAATTCTTTTCTTTTAAATTGCTGTGTGCTCTCTGCAATGCGTATCTGCTTTGTGCTTTGAAATAGTATCTTTTTGTGCTGGTTTAGGACGGGCTGCAAGGATTCGACTCCTAAAAAGTACTTTCTAATCTCTGAATATCTTCTAAAATCCATGAAGTACTTCTTGTACACATTCTTGCATAGGATTTTCTGATTCACTTTCAGTATGGCTGAAATATAACCCGAAACTGGTTTCCATCTTTTACCTATAAAAGAGTTCTGTATTATTTCTTTGGTACACATAACTGTTTCTATGCATCTATTTAATATTGGTGTAGCATAGGAAAATCTCCCACTATTTTCTGTGTAGTATACATTCTGCACTACATTTTCTCTCGGTTCAGATCCATCACTGCTACTGTCTTCTAGATCAGTGTCTATGTCCATGTGCTCCATAAGCATATCATGAACTGTTCTTATAAAATCAATCATATCTTCTGGGTCATTAAAGTATTCATAGATATATGTCTGTATGAGAAAGCCTGTTGAGTACATGAACTTTCCCTTGGAGTACTCATTAAAGTCCGTTGGTTCTGCCCACGTATTTTGCTGCTTGTAAGAGTTCCGTCTGTTCTTAATGAAAAACTCAATGACCTCAACTGCCTCATTTTCCGTTGGCCCATAAACATCAAAAACCCCTACTTCATCCCGCATAATATCCTTGTATTGAAATTCTTTGAGTTTAATTTTGAATAGAAGACTTTTGTCTTTATAACTTGCAAGGACAAGCTCCTTCTTTCCTTCTTCTGCACTCTCTATTGTGAGCAGAACGTTGATTCCTTCAGAAAGAAGAAGCAGAGATGCAAGAATCTGATTGACTTTTTCCTCTGAGCCTATTCCTTTTAGGAACATGTAGAAAGAATTGGTCTTCTCTGTTTCAATTGATATATTTCCACTATGTGATGGAAACATCTTCAGCAAAGTCTGAAAGTAACTTTTTTTATACCCAGGGCTCCTATCCTCTTCATATATTCTTTCGTGCACAGTGTCTTTACTAAAGTCCCTTGCATTTACATCCCCATTGTAATGTATCTTTTTGTCTTTTACTTTTACTTGGATGTCTGTTCTAACTTCAGCTGAAAAAAATCATAAATTATGAATTAGCCCGATTCCTTCAGCCATGCATGCCCGTATTAAGCTAAGTGCCCCATTTGGACTGATTATTGTTCTGTCGTTCTCTTTCATATATATAACTCGTTTATGCACTGTGAGCTGATCCGACAGTAGTAGTCTACTAGATACTATAGAACACATTGCCAAAAACATCAAGCACATAGGTTTTATCGAGTTTTTGTTGTATTTTTCGCTCTTTCTTTTTCTAACGATTCTATAATGTATTTGTTTCTTTGTTTCAGTATGTTCTTCCTTCCTTTCTTGCATAAATTTATCTTAAAATAAAAGTTGTTATAGCCCGAAAGCAAAAATAAAAATGCATATAACTTAATCTAAACCCAAAGTGATCTAAAACAAAAGATTATTGCAAATGCAAAGAATTTAAGATCTTTTGCACTAAAGAATTTCTTCAATCTGCTTTTCATTCATTTTCACTTTTGGATTCTCTTAATTTTTATAAATTATTTGTCATTGTAGTAAAATTACAACTTCTTCAAAACATACATGCTTCTTATGGGCTTTAAAAATAAAACAATTTTAATGAAGAAATCTTCTCTACTTCAAAAACAGTATTCAATTTGTTGTACATGAAGCACACCAAGCCCAGTGAATCAGGTTCAAAGCGTTCTCATTCTCTTTTTTACCCCATCCTGTCCTGTGGTGAAAATTCCTCTTGGGGAGTTCCAAGAAAGCGTCTGAGCTCTGGCTGATTGGGAAGCTTCGTCTGTCTGCGCTAGCATACACGTCCCATCCCTACCACAGAGTTCGGATGGTGACTGCACCGCACACGAGAGTTACATGTATTGCTTGCGTGTTGAAGACCGAGATCGAGTCTTTAGAGCATCTTCTGCTGAAATATCCAGCGTGAGCTGCTCAATAAGACAAAATATTACGCACGTCCACTATTGGGGACGCCATGGCCCAAGTATTAAATAGGGGTATATTGACTGATGCGCTTCTTGGGGGAAAGTTAAGCCCAATTGACTGGGTTTTTCTTTTCAACTACTTGGTCAACCAGTAATTCATGCGCTGCGTTAAAAAAGTCCTTATAGTTCTTTGCTGTGTCAATAAACTTGTATATACGCTTGTATAAGTAAGGCAGCGCTGTTTAGAAAACTTCCACTCTCAAACTCTTCTTTTGTGGCAGGCATTGCAAATTTGCCCCCTTTCTTTAGAAATTCTTTGTCTCTGCAGCGTATATAGAAGCTAACAATTTCAGCTGTCTTACTTTGATAAATACTGTCACTTTGCTAATTAATAGATATATATATACTTGCTGTGTACATTAATAAATCTAAAAAACTTCTGCCCATTGCGAACAGTGGAATTAATTTCTATAGGAATCCACCATGCATTCCGCTTATATCAACATGCTCCATCCAAGAATTACTTCAGCCTAAATATACACAAAATAGCAGTAGATTTCTATAAATTAAGTTGATTTTACTCAACTTCTTAAAGAGAGATGTTCTTAAACTTTAGTATTTATTTGAGAACTCAACTCTTTAAATAGTTTGGTCTTTAATTTAATTTTGACACTTATCAAAATATACAAAAAAACCAATTCATGTCATGTTCAATGTGAACAAACACAAATTTAATTGCTATTGTAGCCAATAACATATACGCCATTGTATGCTATGCTGTGCATACAACAATTCTCTCTCTTGAATTATTAAACTTAGTCATGCTAAACTGGATATAATTTATTTATCGTCGTCTATATAGCTTTTAGTAATAACTTCTAGTCTGTATTACGTCTATAGGCACATATGCAATAACAGCTAATATGAGAGTGACACTCAGTGTTAACAAACTCAGATCACTAAACTCAAGATGCACAAATAAACACAGCTCGCTCTTCTGTCTTATTAGTCAACAGCTAAAAGCCCAGTGAAAATAATGGCTAGTTGTTACATTATCATCTTGAGACATGAGAAGGCATTCACATTTTTAAGACATGGACTAATATTCTCTACTTAAGATTATATCATAATGGATCTGCATATTTCTATCATATTATTCCATCTAGAGTCTTTAGATTCTTCCATTATTGCTATCATCCACTCTAAGAACATATAATTTAGATTGTTAGTCGATCCATCCTCACATCCTCCTTTTGCTTTCTTTAGAAGTTCAGAAATTCTATAAATTTTCTTTGGATCAGTTCCATTCTTTGTTAAAAGCTCTATAAATGAATATTTTTCTTTCTGACATTTCTCACCACCATAAAAAGTGGGTTTTGCATAGTACACAGTGTAGAGAAAATCGTTTTCAAACTTAGTTATTATATCAGCGATTATTATAGCACAAGGTTCATCAAATAAAAGCCCAATGTCATTGTATGTTACTAATTTTACTAACATAGATATAAAATAAGCAAAGTCACGTTCTTTATCGCTACCTATAACTATATTTGAATAGTATGCTTTCTTTGCGGAGTGCCAATTCAATATAAAAATGCTGTCATCATAATTACCATTTGTTGTGTAAGTACTTTTCAATATGTTCTCTAATAGGAAAAAAAGAGGATATTGTATACTGCCAAAATCTGGTTTTAGTCCGCATTCCCGTATTTTCGATATAAATTCTGTTCTGTATTCTGGACTATTAATTCTTGGTTCAAGCAGGAGAGTATCAATATAATTGTTCGATTCGCTATTTAAGTATGTGAGATTTATATCTGTACTTGGGTTAGAATTGATTTTACTAAAAGCAATGATTTTTTTAATTTGGTCTATATTCTTTTTAACACTCTTTATAATAAATGGATCTGTACCCCCCACCTCATCGTTTTTTCTATACATCATAAAGCACGCGTTCCATTCTATTTTTTTTGTTTCAATGTGGCAATTGATGGAAATATGACATTCATACCAATAGGGATGGGCATAAGGATCAGCCTGGTTCTGTTCATTGCTTTTATCATAAAGTATCCCTATCTTTCCAGCTATATCACTAAATCTTTCTTTATAAGTATGTTTATGTTTGGGATGCGTATGAACAGCAACACTTTGACTTAGAGCAATTTGCTTAATTAGCTTGGTCATATATTTTTCCATGGCATCTGCTAGTTCATTCTTCAGATCTTTCTGATGATTCATATAGATTTCTATTGATTGAAGGATATCTGTGTTTATATTGCGTTCTATCTTCAATATTTGCTCTAGCTTTTGGTGGATTCTATTGTTTTTTTCTTTGCTTTTTGCACTTTTTAGTTTCTCTTGATACAGTTTTTCCATAGTCGAAGGATATGTTAAGAGTTCTCTATATATAGAGGTATAAATTTCAGATTTTTTATCCATACTAGTTAACTTCTGTTTAGTACTATTACTAGATTTCTTAAATTTATGATAAAAACTTTTAATTTTGGAATAAACATCTATCTCAGTTATTTCATACAGCCTATCTCTAAACTTATTTATCTTCTCTGTTTTACCCACTCCTGTTATCTCTTTAATAACATGCATCATGTTAATCATTCCTGGCACAAGCTGGTTTCTGTCTGGCCGCATATATTGTATATTCTTGTTGGCTAGGCCGCCCACTACTTGGTTCCACTCATCGTGCAATTCCTTTGACACTTCTCCATACATGCCACTGTGCTTTTGGAAAAAGCTTTTCAGCTCCTTAGAGGCAGACTTTATGTGGTCAATTGTGTATCTGCGCTCCTTTAAGTTATATGTAATAGCGCAGAACAAGCCTAGTAGAGCTGTCTCGCCGTAGTCAGTAAAACCCTTAGATTTGTCTACATCCTCTCCAACTGGAACAACATCCATAGCAGGCTCTAAATATATTGGATCCAGCCCAATATCTATACAATCATTGTATAAAGTTTTCTCTATTCTATCGAACATGTATGTGTTATTTTCTTTAGTTGAGTGTTTCCCTGGTTGTATGATGTACCTTTCAAGTACTCTTTTTACTTTCATATTCATTTCTTTTTTGTCATAAAATGCATACTCAGTCAGCATAGCATACACTGTCTGAGCAAATAAATTCATTTTTTCTTTATTTTTTAGGCTGTGTTTGATATATGTCTGTATAAGGAAGCTTGGGCTATTTATAAACTCTTTGCTGTTAGGTATATTTGAACTGTATTTTTCTTCTTTTTTTTGTTTTTTTATAAAGAAGTTTATTACACGAATTATAAATTTAGACGATGCACAGATATTCACTTTAAAGTGGTCTTCTTGTAAATTCGCCTTCTTTAGAGCAAGATATATTACGCTCCCACTTTTATTAACTTTCAGCGGTATAGCCACTCCCTCTGCAAGCAGAAAAAGAGAGGCAAGTATTTTATATTTGTACTCTTTTACACCTACCCTGTTAATAAATGCATGAAAAGAGTCTTTTTTCTCATGAACTATAGACACATATCCGTATATAGAGGGGAACAGCTCAAGAAGGGTAGTAAAATACGCCTTCTTGTATTTAAGCATTTCACCAGTATATGAAAGAATAGGATTCACTCTGTCCAGGCTGGAGTTTTTTATATAATGGTAGTTTAATTGAGTATCTTGTGATGCATTTCTGCTAATTCTTATAGTGACATCTTTCTGTATCTCTGGTGACATAAATCTCTTTCTGTGCATAAACCCAATGTTGCTGGCTTCTTTTCTTAGCACCATACTTACAACACGATTTGACTGTTCTTTTCTTTTTCCTTTTTTAAAAGAAGCTGCCTTTATATAGACACCTCTTAGCCCATCTACGGTCAGTATACTGTCCCAAACATGGCACAGTATAGCCAGCCCAATGAGCATGTATACCTTTGCTCTTTGGATAGCTCTTTTCTTTTCCTCTTGTCTTATTCTATGTACTTTTATGTCTTCTGTTGCTACTTCTTTACTCTCTAATAGCTGGTTCTTTCTTTTTGAAAGATTAGACTTCATTATACTAAACATTCTATAGCTTACTTTTTGTTGTCTATTTATAGACCATAAAATTAGAAATTTATCAGTAGTATACACACATAAGTAAAAACATAACAGACAGACATCATTATTAAATTAAAAATTACTTAATTAACTGTTGGTTTTCCTTGCCTCAAGGGCATTGAAACCTTCTCTCCGGTTCAGCAATGTAGATCGATGTTGGTTATTGCCTCCGGGCTTTGGCTAGGCCAACATGCTACAAAGGGGGCTCTACTTGTTTACGGGTCATACTATAGTGATCTATGATTATGTGACACTTGCTGTCACTTTACGATTTGATGTGGAAAACTTTGCTTGTGCTGTCAAAAAGCATTAATCAACTTCCATGTACAAAACTATATATAGACAATGAGAAATAAATTATATCCAAGTTTAGTATGACTAAGTCTAATATTTCGAAGAGGAAAATTCAGCTTTAACTGTAACATAAAAAAATAGAGACCCACATAATGTGTTTATCTGCTGCTGCTAACACTACAAATATGTACTTTAATATGTGTGCATACTATTTGCTGCAAAACTGCTACTTCTCTTGAACTTTCTTACCATAGTAGAACTATATGGAATAAAGTAATTGGTATTGAGCTGTCTGAATCTGAGAAGTGCAGCCTATACAAACACACGGCCGAGCAAGCAGCCATGCACGTGCTTAAGAGATTAATAAAAGTTCTTTACTATAAGGATGCTGTTCATCTTCAGTTATTATTTACATACCACAATGTCTCCTTTACTAAAGTAGACTACTGTGTATGTGTTTGTTCTTTTATTTCTGTGCATCTGTCTACTTTGTCCTTTTCTTCTCTTTCAGTGTGCTTTTTGTATTTTTATTCTCTTATAAATTGGGAAATAAAGTATACATACAGCTCTCTGAAGCAATTTATTTTACATAGGTATAAAAAGAGAAATAAAGCATGAGAGACAGGGAAAAGAAGAAAAGTAGCATATTTCAGAGAACCACTATTGCTCAGACATGAAGAGAGAAGAAAGAGAGAAACAGAGAGAATAGCACACTACAAGCAAATAGAGAACGAAACAAGCATTTATTGACAGCTATACACACTCTCTCTTACTCAGAACACACTGGGGTGTATTGTGCACCATAGAAATGCATAGAGATACCTTATTAATGTGCAATATACTATACACATAGGCTGAGTGTAAAGGCGCTTGCAGAATAGCACACTTACAGTGCTTGGGAACTCCATTAAAAACACACCCAATTCTAGCATTATTGCATCAAGTTAATGTTGAATGCCAACCTCTGCCATATACCAGAAACTAAACTAAGAACCCATCCACATACATTTAACTGGCAGCTGCAATTCGGCTTATATTATTGCACCAAACTCGCATAGACACTCGAATATAAATTCAAATATAAAATAGCAGACGATTCAAGGACAGTCCTAAACAACTAAACAAGAGAGCTAGCTTAAAATATTTTTACTACAATAATAAAAGTTCCTTGCACAGAAATAGGTGCTATTCCTAGGTCATGCTACTTCTCCCTAGATAACATACAATCTACTGGTTAGAATATCATTTGCCTCTGGACCAGCTAATGGGGCAAACATACGCATATGCATGTTTCGTTGAGTGATATTGAGTGAAAACTATTGATCAACGCATATAACCTAAAGGCCAATAAAAATAGCATATAAACCCCCTGTGTTTACCCGTTACTATATATTAAAAATGATTTATTTTATTTAATGAAAACGAATTCTTTCGTTATTTGGATCAAGGCAGTTGCCTTAATCAGTGTTCTACTGATGAGCACGCACAGAGCAGACATGACATTGGACGAGGTGGAGACCACTCTGCAGTTTGAAATTGCAACGGATACAGCACCAGTGAAGATAAACCCAGAGGGGCCTCTCAACTTCCTCCGGGGATACATCTACCAGAAAATGGACTTTATGTACAACAAAAGATTCTTTTCGCCACAAATTAAGACAGACTATCTCTTAAAGAAAGAATGTATAGGTGAGTTTTATGAATTCTATACATATAACCGAGATAGACAAATGGACAAAGCATACAAAGACCTATCAAAGAATAAAATGGATGAGTACAATGAGCAGTACCACAGTCATCTTATTGATCTGTTTCCATCACCAACTGGCGACATAACCATAGAGACGCGAGGAAACCAGTCCTTTGTTCAGTTCCTTCGTGCAGATAAAACAAAGAAGCATGCATTGCAGATTCTGGCTTTATTACTGCTTTTTTCAGAGGGAGTGAATATTCACATTGATGTCAGCAATACAGTACTGAAGGTCTATGAACCAAGCAAAAAAGATGAAATATACTTTGAAGTGTCCATGGCAATTCCATGGAAAAATGATAAAACAGGTAAGGAAGAAACATTCCAACAGAAGAAAGTTAATCAAATGATCAAATTCTTCAAGAAGAATGCAACCAAACATGAAGTGCTTAGTATAATGAAGGACAAGTGCTCATATGATGAGGTTTCCACAGGAAAGTTTCTGGACAGTCCTAAATTCCTGATACAGTCGTACATATTTGGATTCATAGAAAGTGCAGAGAATGCAATTGAGTTTATCCAGACTGTGCACACTATGACAGAGAAGTATGCACCAAAGACAGAAGCACCAAGCAAAGATGACTCTGTATATGACAGACTGTTTAAGCCTGCTAACACTGCAACAGACACAGACTGTATGGCTCTAATGAAGAAAACTCAAGAGATTATGAATGGAAATCGGGACTTTTCATCTACAGGCAGCATGAAACTTCCTAGATATATATCTGTTCCTATGCGTGATCCAATAACAAAAGTGCTCTCTGCAAAACTAGGAGAGTACAGCAACTGCGTCGAGTGCATGATTCTTTCTCTTTTCTGCTGCCTGGCATATGATCCATCTGACTCTACATATAAAACTGACCATATGGGGAATGTCTCTGAAAGTTTGAAAGAATTCTTCGCCCCTGAGAACCAGCCATTTGACACAACAAAGAATGAATTTCAGATAAAGTGGTGCAATGTTGTTGCGTGTCTAGACGAGCCTAGCATTACATACTGCAAGGGAAGAAACGAGCTAGACTGCGGTATTATAAATATGCTCATGGTTATTGCTGAAATAGTAAATGCTCCAGAGGATGAAAAGAAGAAAATACTTGGATTTTCAGAGAGGTTAAAGGAGGAAGAGGGCATGTTAGAGAATAGTCTTTCAAAGGATATTCAAGAGTACACTAAAGAACTACTTAAACGCTTATCCAAGACAAAGAATATAGAAATAGAGTTCTTTTGTCTTACAAGAGATGAGTGTACTAATGGAAGATACGATGTGTGTGGAGAGATTACTATTTTATTTGAGCAAGGCAACTTTGAGAATAAAATAGTCATAAAAATATCCCAAGCCCATAGTTCTATTAAGATAGAGCCTATTGTTGTGGACTCTGATAATTATCGAGTATGGAAATTGAATGGAATTGCACAAATCTGTAAAAATGGGATAGAATTCATTGGAAATCTGTTTTCTATATATGTTGACTATGAAGCAAGAAATCTTGATACTCCTGAGAAGAACAAAGAGTTTATAAAGGCCCAAGTGCGCAAGACCATTGAGAACAACTTCACAGACATAAATAGACTGCTGCTCATAGAAAAGATGAATGACTTAGAATATAAGAAGAAATTAGTCGCCTGCTCTATAGCGTACACTCTGGATAAAAAGCTACTTCCAATGGATCCGATTATTCGGTTTATCTCCAACATAATAGGAAGCACAGAGCTAGATAACTCGGAAATTCAACTTTTTGTTCTCTCACCAATTATGTGCGCTGGTCTGCTTAATAAAAAAGGCAGTAGTCTCTGCTACCCGAATATAGAGATGATAGAGGACCAATATGAAAACGTCATGGGATGCGCAATGTGGTATGATTTTGTTGAATATGTGTTAGATTGTGATATATCCATTTTCATTGTATGGATTAAATACTGCATAGACAACTTTAGTCTATATAACTCGGAGGGCCAGTGTGAATTATTAAACTTTCAAGTGGCTGAACCTGTTTTTAAATATATATTTAAAGACAACAAAATGGAGTATGCTAACGCAGTTGATGAGGTTATAGCACAAGACTATCCTAAAGAGAAAGATGTGATAATAAGTTATCTTCACTATACCTGGTTCATGTATCTTATTTTACAGGACATCCCAAATATAGAGCTGATTAAAGAAAACTTTGATGCCATCCAGAATCCAAACTATATTCCGGAGAATTTCAGATATCATAATAAGCAAATCATTGTCCAAGCCCTCACAGAGCTAAAGGACCAGCTATGCACTAGTGAAGACTCTATTGCCAAGTTTGACGAGCTTATACGCCGATATAAGCCAGATTCTACCACTTCATGAGATGCACAAACTTAGACACTTCTTTGACTAGAAAAGTCTTTATAAATTTCAATAAAAGCTTTTCTCTAGTATTTCTAAAGAACTCTAGCTAAAGTACTTTGTACAAAGATTCTTCACATAGCACAGCTAGAATTAAAATATTTTATACTTAGCAAACATATAGTGAACAACTAACAACATGGCAGTATATAGAAAAACTAGCTCTAATATAACCCGAGTTACTGCACCATAGTGCCCTCTTAAGTGGCATATTTTAAACTCGCTTATTTCAACAGTCCTATGTGAAACAGGTATTAACACACAAATTTGAAATAACCTTGTTAAAGCCTAACACTTATACTCTCTATTTAGACTGCTCTCTCATGGTGGGGATGCTGCTACTTTGGACACACCATGTATTAGAGATCGCACACAAATGGAAATACCATCGCATCCCTACTACCATGCGTACATACAATATAACATAATTATTTAATGTATGTTGGGAAAATGTCATAAAATAGTTTGCTGATTAATTTATTGTAAATGTATGTGCAGATTTAACTTCCGTTATATTATGATTATATTTAAATCTAAACTGGAGGAAAAGTTGGTTTTCTAAAGTACAGTACTAATTTATCATACTTTTCCATGCTTTTTCTATCATCCTCTGTGCAGAAAAGAGCTTTTCTTTCTTCTAAAACACTTAGACATTTTTTAAATTGTCTAGAGGTTAAAACAGTGTTTCCCAAAGCATTCATAACCGAACTCGCCAAATCGTCATCTAAGGTTACAAAGCTGTAAACCTTCTTAATAAACTCTGTTGAAAACCCACTACCACTTGAGCATGTATGAATAAACCATAAAAAGCATATATAGTTTAAGTCTACAGCTTTTGTGGATTTTGTAAGAATGCAATGAATCTCCATTAGATTAGATACCAGTTTATAAGACGTAATGTGTTCAAACAGTTCTTCTGACGCTATAAACCAAAGTCTTAAATCATATACCTTTTCATTATTTATACTTGCTCTAAGATAGTTTTGCATGGCTTTATATGCGATAGAAGCTGGCAGATTTAGTAACACACTATGTAAATGCATTATTTCTGTAGTCTCCCAAATAGCATCTGCAGGATGCTCAGATGGCTTATATCCAAGTCTTGGATAGTATTTCTGCCAGCTTGCATGAAATGGGAAGAATCGCATCATTATTTGCTGAACTGTAAAATCATTAAGCGGAACACTTCCTAAAATGTTTCTAGTAAACCGCACCAAATAGTTGGTTGAATCTATCTTTGTTCCAATCGTACTAAGTATAACAGTCTTTATAATCCAGGACTTAATGCTAGTACTAGTAAGCTTTCCTAATAAGAGTACTTTATATGGCTCCTTAAACGAATTCTGTAACATGTGATCGGTTGTATATTTACGATATTCTAAATGGATTTTAGAGTCAGATCCTGAATCAGCTAATCCTAAATAAAAGTAGTGGTCCATAATGTATCCTATATAGCAGTCTAGCCCATCGTAAATACTCTTTACCTTTTTATATTCTTCTATAATATATGCAGACTTAGCCTCCTGTAATGAAAGAAAAGTAAGGTCTGTGTGGTCTGTATCTATTTTCAAAACAATTTCACTACGTGCTTTATTGAACGTATAGATAAATTTAATTTCAGAAAAAATATCTGCTTTGCCATTTGATCTCTTTTCAAGTTCCATATGACTGCAGTTTACTCTTACATTTGTATTCAGTGATAAAGCCCGAATAATTAATTCTATCTTATCTGAAATATAAGATATCTGCTTATTATCTAATTTTCCTGCCCTGCATACATTCTCTATATACTTAATTAGCGCGAGTGTGTGTTTTTTCTGGTCTGTTATTTCTGCTATAGCAAGAAATATATTTCCAATCCCAGAGAGAAGCCCGTTTTTATCCTGTTCGTAGTCAATCTTGTCATTCTTTAAGCATGCAACAACTCTGCTCCACTCCTTGTGCATTTCGAAGTCGGCAGCTTTAGTTGGCTTAGGATACTTTTCAAAGAACTCCTTCAGCTCTTTACTTATTCCTGCCCCCATGTGGCGTGTTTCATACTTTTTTGTTCTTGGGTTGTATGCTAGACAGCAGAACAGCCCAAGAAGAGCTGTCTCTACACAGTCGCTATAGTATAAGGCTTTGCTTCTCTCAAAACCAGACTTGTCCAGTTTACACTGTGGTACTTTAGTATACCGCGGCAGCTGGCTGGAATCAAGGAAGGGAAATCTTATTTCTATATTTGTAGCCTGAATAAGGTTACAGAATGATTCAATGTGCTTTATGTTTTCATCAGATGCTCCTTTTACTAGAAAAAGCTCTTTGAATATTCTCACCTTCCTGCAATTCTTTTTAGTATATCTATTTAGATTGCTTTTTTCAGTAAATTGATCAACTAGTAGCTCATGCACTGCATCCACAAAGTCCTTGTAGTCCTCTGCAGTATTAATAAACTCGTATATGTATGTCTGTATAAGGAACCCTGCACTATTCAAAAATCTTCCGCTCTGAAACTCTTCTCTGGTAGTTGGCATTGCAAACTCACTTCCTTTCTTTAGCAGCGGATTCTCTTTGCACCGAATATAGAAGTTGATGATCTGGGCTGTCTCGTGTTGGTATATATCCTCTTTATACGGCTTAGCAGCTGGGTCTATACTTGCTGTGTACATTTCTACCTTCACAAACACTTTTTCCTGGACTGTTTTGCTTTTTATCACGAGCTTCTTTTTCTTTTCTGTATGGTCTACAGCTATTTTAATGTCAATACCTTCTGAGAGAAGCAGCAGTGCAGCAAGGATATATTTTGCATCCTTCTTGACATGTTCTGCTCTTAAGAAGTTTGTAAGTGCAGTTAGTCTACCTGCCTCAATAGAAAGGTTTCCAGCTGCAGACGGAAACATCTTTATGAGCTGTGCGTGATAAGTGCTAAGATACTTGCCATTCGGGGCCTGTGTAGCTATGTCCTTGTATACTCTGTCATTGACTGGTGTTCTTGTAAATTTATAAACCTGTTCATTTTTACTTGATATTTCTTTCTTAGACAACACATAGTCTGTGTCTATTTCAGAGGAATAAAATCGCTTGTTGTACATATATCCATTCCGGTTTCCAATGTATCCACGCAGCAGATTTAATGGTCCCTTTGGGTTAATAAATACATCTTGCCTCCTGCCAATAAAAGCCTTACTAACTTTCTTTATGTCCTCCACTGCTAATTTTGTAAGAATACTCTGTAACGTTATTAAGCTAAGAAGTACTCTGCAGCCGATTCTGTATAAATAAATAAAAGATCTTTTCTTTAAATGCTTTGGTTTCTTGACCTCCATTATCTGAGTTAGCATCTTAAGGGGCCAATTGCCAAACTCTATTTTTTATTCGAAAACTCAAATCTTTAAATAGTTTGGTCTTTAATTTAGTTTTAACCTTCTATTAAATAAACAAACAAGCCAATAATCTATGGCTGGGTGTTCCAACAAACACTATTATCTCTGTTTCTGCTGTTGCTAATAATATGAATACAGTCAGATGTTACGCAGAGTATGTAACAATCATTGGCGTTGGTTTTTCTTGTCTTTAAGGCCATGAAACCTCTCTCTGGGCCAGCAATCTAGTTGGTAATTGGTCATTGCCCCCCCAGGATTTGGCCTCGGCCAACACGCTAAAAGGAGTTCTACTTGTTTAGGCGTCTACGATCAAGTGGTTCAATAAATGACACATGCTGCCATTTGTCTTAACTTCTAGAATACTTTCATGGCACCAGTTTGATAGGCTTCTCCTGGAGGTCTATAAATAGACAACAAGAAATAAATTATATCTAGATTATTATGAGTGAGACTAATATCTCGAGGAGGAAAAAACAGATATTGGATCTCTTTCATATAAAGTGTGCTACTTTTCTGCTCTTTTGCACGAGTTAAATTTCATGTGTGCCTTTGCATTTTCCTCCGCAAGTTTAAATTAACTGCCTTAAATAAAATCTGAATAGTGCTATATTTAACTGCTATCTAATTACATAGAAAAGTATTTCAGTAGTCCAAGTGCAGTTTTTATTTTGGGCTTTTGGATTATAGAATATTTTTGTAGGAATACTCTGTGAATGAGAAAATATTAAAATATTTGCGATTCTACATTAATGAAAATCCAGCTAGAGAGCATTGAGGCCTTTGAGGATATTTTCAAGGAAATCCTGGGGTCTGACGAAACAGCAAAGCACACCCAGAATGAACTAAATGTGTTAATGCACATAAAGAATCTTTTCCTGAAGAATGTAGAAATAGGAGGGGAAGAGCTTGATATAGGGCAAGTGACACAAGAGAAACTTGAAAGAAAGAAGGAGCATGCAAAGCTAATTGCAGAAGTAGAAGAAGCAGAGAAAAATAAAAGTGAAGCTCTAAATACACTTTGCAATCTTAGAAGAGAACTTCCACATACTCTGCGTGAGGAAGTTTCTGAAAGGTGCACAGAAGTCATACGGCAGATGAACTATAAACCAGCGCATGCTACTATTCCCCAGAAAGCACCAGCACCAGAGGAGGATGTCACTCGAATTAAATCCACAGTTAACGAATTATCTGAAAAGCTGCCTGTGGTTCTGTCGCAAATAAAGGAGAAGATCTCCTATGTAGAGAAAGAAGTAAAGGAAAGAATTGATCAAAAGGGAAGAGAGATTGAAACAGAAGCACTTTCCATTTTATTTAAGGATGAATTGGAGATGCCTGAGTGAAACACCCAATCTATCCTCCAAATGCATTCTAGTTTTGTTCATTTTCCATGTTTTGTTCGTTTCAGTAATAAATATTCTTTAAAAAAATCTGGTTGTATTCAGATTAGTTTATATGGCGTACATTAAATGTGAATGTTTTGCGGTTATATTCGGGCTATAGCGAGCACTTTTATCTGTAAGTAATTATTTAGGATTTCGGGTTATGTGTAAAAATGGACTGCTGTTGAAGAAAATTCGTGTGCGGCAAAGGATCTAGGACATATCATATCTTTATATGTGCTTGTTCGCCTTCAGGTTATATCATTTATTTAATTATAAACTTACATTCCTTGATCACTTGTCTCTTGGTGCTTCTACTCATGGCCCTGTATCCTAAATGAGTTTCTCACCTTGTCTAAAAGTAAAGTATTACGTGAGGCAAAGCAAAGAAGATCTAACTATTGTACTATGCCCTACAAGGATAACACATACAGATGTTTATCTTCTTTGCTTTCCTTCTGTTTCATCTGGGTAGCATGCAAATTCTTTCTGCACTATTATAATGGGTCTGTTTCGGGTTATTCGGGCTATACCGGGTTTAATCGGGTTATACCGGGTTATTCGGGGTTTGGGTTATAGAATTTACTTCCTACGAGGCATCCGCTCCATTCTCTTTGTTTTGACCAGGCTTTTGTACTTGTCTATAATTTGGTCTCTTGATGTATTCTTGAAGTCGCACTTTCTTTGCACTCTGTCCCAGTCTGTTCCGCAGATTTGTATTATTTTAATAAGTTTTTCTGTTTCTTTCGCTGTCCAAAGTTTTTTTGGTCTCCTGGCATTCGTCTTCATGCTGCTGCTTGCTTTAGAAAGTTCTTTTTCTTCGTCAATGCTGTCTGGGTGATTTGATTTCTCCAATTCTATTGGATCCTCCAAGTCGCTCTCATTCCACTCAACTTCGACTCCTGGAATTTGTGTGTTAATTAGTGACTTAAGATTTATGTGCTTGTACTCGTTGATAAAGCTTGTGTACTTTTTCTTCTTGTCTGTGAAGGATTTTTCCTCTTGCTTGTCTTCTTCCTTTTTCTTTGGCGTCTTCATTTTTTCTCCGTCTTTTTCTGAGCATAAAATAGAATGGGTTTTAATATTTTCAACTTCATCCTCAAGCAATGCACTTCCAGTCTCCAGAAGAAGATTCTTCTGCTCTAATATTTCGTGAACCACTTCAGAGACGCATTCTTCTTTCATACTTACTGTTGTAAGAAGAGGCAAACTCAGATGTTCAAATATACTTTGTGTTTCTTTAAGAATTCTTTCTTTAAATTCTATAAAGTACTTCTTTCTTTCTTCTACACTTATTACAACATCCTCGCTTGCTGCGGTCTGCATCATTAACTCAATCTGTGAGCTTATCTCTTCATCTTTCATCTTCTCATAATGATCCATCATATTTTGGGATTTCTTCAAGAGCAGATTATACATCCACAGAATAATCCTTTTTATCTGCTGCATATTCTGGCCTTTGGTTCTCTGCAGATGCTCAAATACTGCATAGAACTTTCTATTTATTAAAGGAGATTCATATTGCGATAGCACTTTGTTATGGATCAGAAATATTATGTACTTTGTTAATATTTCATCATCTTTTTCGTACTCTTTTGATTCTATTTTGCTCTTTAGATTGTATATTAAATATGAAAAATAGCTGGAATTTTGGGTATATTGCAGGGTTTGCTTGCTGTCTTTGTTATTATCAATTATATAACTTATATACATGTACAAAATATAGTCAATATATTGCATCTTCATAAGGCTTTCCATTAGCTTGAAGAATATAAAAAAATTAATTAGAATTCTCGCTTATAACACGAAATAGCCCAAATGTACTTCTTACAAAATCAGAATACTCTAAAGCGCATCCATAAAGGTATTTAGGCATATAATAGATGTAGCCAGCTTACTTGTATGATTGGGTTATATATATCAGGACTTTGGCTTATTTCAGGGTTATATCAGGTTATGTTCTGCCTTTTGAGGGGTAAATCAAACATGCATGGAAGTAAAAGAGTTCTGCTTCTTGGAGGCTTCTAATGGCATATTTTCCATACGAAAACACAGCTGAAAATACTTATTTTATTATCTAAAAACCACATATACAGAAAAGATGCTCACAGGTTTTTTAGCCTCATGTACTCCTCTTTTATAAGGGTCAGCTTGTTATTTATCTGGGCGTAGAGTTCAATCTGCTCGGTCTTTTCCTGCAGAGAGCTGTTTTGCGCATATGCGATGCTCAGAACTTGGCTTATTTCTTCCTCTAGCTTGTATATGAGCCTCTTAAAATCGCCAGTGGTTGTTTTCAGCGCGCTCACTGCCTGTTTACACTTTGAGCATTCGCCCTGGACAGGCGCTGCGCTCAGGATTTCTTGCCGCAAGGAGGCTATTTGCTGCCCAAGCGTTTGGATTATTTCATTTGATATGCCCTTGTTTGAATTAATTATATTCTCCTTTAAAACCCGATTTTCCTCTCTTATCTGATGCATTTCCTCTTCCATAACTATGATCTGCTCTACTAATCGGTCTATTCTGTTTCTCTCGGCTCTGTCATCTGATATTTCATCCATTCTGAAATTTTCTATTTTTGCACTTTTATAGTTTTCTCTTTAAACAACAGAAAATGACTGTATGTATTTCAGGGATATAACTCAACATTTTGCATGCTCTTTTTAAATAGTCTGAATTCCTTGAAGGACTCTATGCCTTCCCGGGTTTATACGTCCCTGCGCTTTTGTAGATGTTTTTATAAACTTCTAATTCTGATAGAGCCCAAGAATAGACAAATAGATATCTGGCTCCATGCTGTTTGTTTTTCACTTTACATACTGCAAAACTTACCCTGGAATAATAAATTTGTGTTCTTACAACTTTGTTTTCTATTCCTAGCTACTGCGTTTTTAGAAACATTCTGTATGTGCCTCCTAAAATGCATAGCATAAATTATTTCTACTATTAAATGTCTTTAAGCGCTCTATACTACTCTATAATAAAGAGCTTGTATTTTGATCTATATATTGCAATTGTGTGCACAAAACACGTCTTTGCATCTGGGGTGTTCAAATTTAATAGTACTCTACATTTATATACACCCCTATTCTCAATCCACATCTGCTGTATATGGCCCAAATCATATTTCTTGTCTTCCATTTATCTGTGTGCATATAGTGTGATGAGATTCTGCATTTTTTATCTTTACCAGCGCTGCACCCATATATCCTCTCTATGCGCTTACTAGGCTTTCTTCCGTTGCATACTTGCAGGGTCTCTAGATTTGTCTGCTTTCTTTATTTATTTCGGTCTTCGATAGTTATTTGCAAAATAAACACGTACTATAATCTTTTTCTTTTATCAAGCACTGGACGCATTTATTTCTAGAAAATCTCAGGAAAATGCAAAAGCAGAAAACAATAGCCTGAATCAATATCATATTTTATTTAAAGAGAAAATAGATCCTACACACTCATGGCTCTTTGGCCAGGCTCAGAACGATCTTTCTTCCAGCAAGATTAAGTGTCTCGCTGACTGCATTTTCTGGCTCATCTGAAGTTATATACGTATTTGCGTCGCATATAACATCTGAGCTGTCAACTCCACTTGCATGCAAAAGAGCCTTGTCGCTTATGTGCAGACCTGCCTTTTTCCTTAGCTTCTGGACTAAGCTTTTCACCTCTCGCTTTACCCAGTGGATCTCTATTTCTTCGCTCCTCTCTGTGTCTATCACCACATAAATCAGATCAGACGCAGATGCACCCTTTAGAGTTACTGGAAGGTTAAGGGCTTCTCGCTTATAAATAACTTCGTCTCGGGTTATGTTTATGCCGTCGCAAAGCAGCGCGCCTTCCGTCAGAAGTTTGGTTATGGCCTCCTGGTCTGCTGCGCGCTTTCGAATGGCTGCAGTTCTCTTCTGCACCTCACCTCCTCCGTAGAGGGCGCTGATCTTCTTGAAGTCTGGCAAAATCTCCTTCTTCCACGCATAGTCGCTCTCTGTCTTGTAACTCACCACAAGCGAGTTCGACTCCTTCTCTATGATGGATGTCAGAACAGAAGACATCTCCATTCCCACAATGGATATCTCCTTCAGAGGCATCTTAAGTGCTATCTCGCACTTCTCTCGAATGACACGCACCGTCTCAATCACACTCTTCATCTTCCTAAAGTCTGTCAGAATTTTCTCAAGAGACGTAATCTTCGACATCTTAGACACTTTCAGTATCTTTTCTGTGGTTCTTTCTATCTGCTCTTTATACATCTGGAAGTGCACTGACAGCCTTTGCTCAGAAATGTTGCCTCCCTCAGATGGCTCGCTCTTATGAAGATCCCCGTTGCACGCTGCGATCTCCTGGTAGCACACCTCACTGAAGAACGGAGTAAAGGGCGCCATGATAACAGACAGTCCCTTGAGAATGTGCCGCAGCACCTTCATCTCTGTGTTTCGCAGGCGGTCTCTGCTCAGCCGGATGTACCACCGACTCAGGTCTCCCAGGAACTCAATCGTTTTTGGGAGTATGTTGTGCAGCCGGTACTCAAGCCCTTCGCTCTGTATTGCAAGCGAGAACTCTTTGAACTCCTGCAGAATCCACAGATCCAGCATGCTGTCGCCCTCATCTATCTTGATGTCCAGGCTGGACACGCTCAAGGCAATGTCCTCCACGTCACAGCCGGTGCTGTCCTCCTTGGCCGCACTTGATGTGGTCTTAAGGAAGCGCAGGCAGTTCTGCCATGGAATTAGAAGCTCTCTGACAATGCTCACCACACCGGCCTCTGTGAACTTGAGGTTCTCTGCCTTCACTGCAGTGGAAGAGATGAGGTACATGCGCATTGCATCTGCCCCGTGGGTGTTCATGATTTCCATTGGGTCCGGGTAGTTCTTCAGCCGCTTGCTCATTTTCTTCCCATCTGCTGCCAGCACCAGTCCCGTCACCATTACGTTCTTAAAAGCAGCTGAGTTGTAGAGCAGCACAGAAAGCACGTGCAGTGTGTAGAACCATCCTCGCGTCTGGTCCAGGCCTTCTGCAATAAAGTCTGCTGGGAATGTCATCTGGAACCTCTTTTCGTTCTCAAACGGGAAGTGTTTCTGCGCATACGGCATGCTTCCGCTTTCAAACCAGCAGTCAAGCACCTCTTCTGTTCTGATGTACTTCACCCCGCCCTTCTCTATCACAATTGTGTCAACAATGTCCTTGTGCAGGTCGGCTGTTCTTATGCCTGTGTGCTCGTACAGCTCCTCCACCGACCCAATGCAGATAATGTCGTCCTCTGTGAGATTTGCGCCTGCGCCCTCTCTGATCCAAATGGGTATTGGGGTTCCCCAGTATCTGTTTCTTGAGATCGACCAGTCTCTGGCATTCTCAAGCCACAGTCCAAATTTGCCCTCGCCCACTGACTTTGGGCTCCAATTAATGGTCTTGTTCATTTTGATCAGATCAGCAACTGCGCTCTTCACGTGCACGAACCAGCTGGGCACTGCCTTGTAGATCAGAGGCGTGTCAGACCTCCAGCAGAACGGATAGCTGTGATCAATTGATGTTGTTTCATAGAGCACGCCCTTTTCCTTCAGGTACCGAATGATCTCCTTTTCAAGCTCCTTCTCCTTAACGTATCTTCCTGCATAGTCTAACACTTCCTCTGTGTACCTTCCGCTTTCATCCACCGGGCAGACCACCTCATCATTCTCCTTTATAATGCCGTTTGCCACAAATGCAGTGTAGTCCTCCTCTCCGAATCCAGGCGCGCAGTGCACTATTCCCGTACCGGCGCCCTCCACGACAAACTCAGCTGCATACGTTCTGAAGTATCCGCTGCTTCTTCGCCCCTCAAAGTATGCAAATGGCTGGGTGTACTCCACGCCCACAATGCTCTTTCCAGCAAACACCTCCACAGGCGCAGCTTTTTTGGCATAGAACTTCCCTGCTATCACATAGGCACCCTCTACCTTATCCTTCAGCAGAACATACTCCATCTCAGGGTTCACCATCAGAGCAGAGTTCCCTGGAAGTGTCCAGGGCGTGGTTGTCCATGCAAGGAACGACACATTACTGTATACTGTTCCGTTTATGGTCATTTCCCCAAGCACAGGCAGCCTGATTGTTGCTGTCAAGTCTGTTGTCACTTTGTAGTTCTGGTTTGCCTCAAAGTTGCTCATTGGCGTTCTGCACGCAGTCGAGTACGGCATCACTCGGTATCCCCGGTAGACCATGCCCTTCTTGTACAGCTCTTTGAAGACCCACCAGACACTCTCCATAAAGCTGAAGTCCATTGTCTTGTAGTCATTCTTAAAGTCAATCCATCTGCCCATTCTCCCAACAATGGCCTCCCACTGCCCAGAGTATCGCATGACAATCTCTCTGCAGTACTCGTTGTACTTCTTCACACCAATTTTCTCAATGTCCTGCTTTGTCTTTATGTTGTAGATCTTGTCTATCTCGTACTCAATTGGCAGACCGTGGCAATCCCAGCCAAATCTTCTCTCTACGTGGTAGTCCTGCTGATAGTAAAAACGCGTCACCGTGTCTTTTATTGTCCCAGACAGGATGTGTCCATAGTGCGGCAGACCTGTTGCAAATGGAGGCCCGTCATAGAACGAGAACTCCTTTTTCCCCTTGCTTAGTTTGTTGCTTAGCTCGAAAGCCTTTATTGACTCCCAGTATTTCTGTATTTTCTCTTCTTGTTTGCTAAAGTCCATGCCCTATAAAAAAATAATTTAGATGTATCTTGAATTGTGCTTTAATTTATAAAGACATCTTAAAGTGTTTTCGGGATTTATGATTTGATATGGGGCACGTCTTTCTGCGGAAGGGCTTCTCCTGGTGAAGCGGGTGCCCCGGGAGGCTGCAAAAGATACAGCTTGCAGAGGTCTTAATTTACGCACATAAAAATAAATAATTTTTGTCAAAACGAAATGCTTTCAGACTTAGGCGCAGGAATAAGCAACGCACTTCAGGGCTTCTTTGGGTCCAAGGAAGGCGAGAAAGAGTTGAACGATGCCATAAAAAAGATAACCACGTCTCTTCTTGGATCAAATGTGAACACACGAGTTGTTCTAAATGTGCGAAAGAGAATTTTAGAAAGATTTAAGCCGCAAGATATTCCAACAAAGTCAGCAAAAGAAAAAGCACTTCAGAAAATAGTGTTTGAGGAGCTGTGCGCAATAATGGACTCTGGAAAGGAGCCGTTCAAGCCAAAAAAGAAAGAGGTTTCAACTGTTCTTTTTGTTGGACTGCAGGGAAGTGGAAAGACAACCACATGCTGTAAATATGCCAAGTATTATAAACAGAGAGGCTTCAAGGTGGGGATTGTCTGTGCAGACACCTTCAGAGCCGGGGCGTACGAGCAGGTCAAGCAGAACGTCCAGGGCATGAACATTGAGCTGTACATTCCAAGTGACTCAGTCAATCCTGCACACGTGGCGCGCGCAGGCACTGATAAGCTGAAGGCAAGCGGGTGCAATCTGGTCCTAGTCGATACGAGTGGAAGGCACACCCAGGAGGGCGAGCTGTTTGATGAAATGGAGGAAATTGTTGCTGCAATTGACCCAACTGCGTCTATATTCGTGGTGGATGCATCGATTGGGCAGACTGCTGAGATACACGCAAGGAGCTTCATGTCTCGTGTGAAGCTTGGATCTGTCATTATCACAAAAACAGACGGAACAAAGAACATTGGGGGCGCTCTGTGCAGCGTGGCTGAGACAAAAACCCCTGTGGCATTCATCGGAACAGGCGAGGGCATGAACCACATTGAGTCATTCAACCCGAAGGGATTTGTTGGCCGGCTAATGGGTCTTGGTGACATATCCAGCTTTGCAGAGAAGATTGAGGGACTTAATATCTCGCAGGAAAAGCAGGAGGAGCTCATTGGAAAAATCAAGGCAGGAGAGTTCAGCATAGGAGACTTCTATGACCAGTACAAGAGGATTCTTGAACTTGGCCCCATTGGGCAGCTTCTTTCTCTCATTCCAGGACTGAACAGCTCAATGTTCAACGAGAAGGAGTTCAAGAAAATGGGAACAATCTTCACAGCCATGACAAAGAAAGAGCTTAAAACCAACGGAGAAGTCTTTATTAGATCTCTGTCCAGGCTGGTGCGTGTAGCCAAAGGAAGTGGTGTGACTCCCACACAGGTCAGAGATGCCATCAACACATACAGAATGATGGCCCAGATGTTCCAAAAGATCTCCTCAAATCCGATGTTTGCAGGCCTTCTAGGAGGACAGAACGGGGCAAATGACAAAAACATAACCCCTGATGCAGCCCGATCCCAGATAAACCAGCTGAAGAAGATGATGCCACCAGGCTTTTCCTCAATGTTTGACCAGTTTGATAAGTTTTTCTAGAAACAAAGAATAAACAACTGTGCTTTTTCTTATTCCGCAATGTGCAGGCCGTGTAGGAATCTATTATCTATTCCACGGTATTTTTTGCACACCACATTGCATAAATTTATTTCTTTTGCAGAAACCTAGCAGCTATAAATGATTAGTTAATTGAATTCAGGCTACACCTCATTATGTTTTTTTCTATGTCGAACTAACTAATTTATGCAGTGTATAAAGAGACCAAATACCATGTATCCCCTGTAATGACTTCTGTTTATACAAATGGCCAATCATCATGCCTAATAAGAATAAAAACATCCAATTAGCTGCAAAAATATAAATATTTTATAGCTAAAAATCATTTTTTACAATTTCATGCTGAATATACTCACCCGAAAACAGCATTCAGATTTACGATACACAATTATGTCCCGGGGGCTTAGAATAGCACTCAAGGAATTATTTGATGCAATTAAAGTTCTTCTTTGGATTCCTTCATATTATACAAATCATCCAGCTTCAACCCACGCATGGAACACATATGATCAAACCGAATTACATGATGATAATTTTCATCAGGAGATGCAAGAAGAATACAATGAAGAAAAAAATAATACAGATGCACAGAGCACTGAGTTTACAGAAGAGAGCGAAAATTATGACAACACACAGTCCAGCCACTTACAGAATATAGAGCATGAGTCATATGAAAATCCTTTCCCAGTTATTCAAACAACAAACTCAAAAAATATACTCAAAAGAGCTCTTAAATTCATACTTAAATTGCTGCAACTAACCACATACCTGTACATCGTACTATTCTTTCTTAAGTGTATTTACATTGCATTTAAGTTCCCATTCGTATATTGCGCCACATTTGGAATGTATATGGATGATGACGGCATCTTATTATCAATTTTCATGAACGAATCAATTATTTCTGGGTTTTTGAGATTCATATACTTTACTATGCTCCCACTTGTGATCATCTATAGGACAATGAAAAGAGAATATCCTTCGTTTAAAAAATATACTGTTTGCATTATCATAGCCATACTGAGCATTATTATTAGCAACACTATATCATACCTTGTATACAGAAAGGTTATTAATAGTGTATACATGTTTATACAGTCAAAAAACAATATTCTCTTTGATTTGGCACTTTCAGCCATAGTAACTCTAGTTTATGTGTCTACTGCATTTTCAGAGCTTTACAGCGCATGGGTTGCTAGCAAAATAGATCATGTATGGGATGCTGTGGAGTTCGGGCAGAAGATATATCTAATATATATTACTGCAAGTTTTTTATACGTTGCAGTTAGTATTGTAATTGTACTTTCCACACTATTCAAGCACAGCATTGTTGATGTGATAGCACATATACTTATGACAATAACTACTTTGTTTAGGATATAAATGATTTATAGAGCTTTTCTGACGATTAAATGAATTAGAGTTCTATTATACATCTAACTTCAATTTCACATCTTTACTAGACTGTTTTTCTATTCATGCCTCTCTCTGCTTTTTAGTTTTCAGTGCGAGCTATTCTGTCCACACAAGCTATTTGAGTGAAATACTCTCAGAGGAAGAAGTTCTGCATTTTTGTAGTTGGAATTTATATTACGTCGATTGACTTTTCTTTGCGGAATTTAGTTAAATTCCATGCACAGCAAGCTTATTTGGTGTTAAGTCATATTATTTTTAATAAAATTATTTAGAAAATATCTAAAGCTAATAGAAGAATTTCTTTTACTTATATAAGTGTTCAAGACTAGCTAAATATATGAAATTTGTATTAATCTGATTTAAGTTCATTCAATCCTTTTATTCTTCAGTATGTCTTTAATATTTGACCATTGGGCGATGCCTAGCTAGATTTTCAAGAAGATTCTGGCTATTATTTAAGATATACTTTGTTTTTCTTCTGTTTCTTTGCTATGTCGCTGTATTTGGCCAATACTTCTAGATCAAGCCGTATGTGCATGCTGCAACTCTTTTTAAACCTCACCTTTGGTAGAGGTATAAATTTACTTTTATAAATGCTTTTGACTGAAAACTTGATGCTTCTGCATATACTTGCACTTTCTACTTGCATATTCTTCTCATCTGCTTGATTTTCTGTGGATTATGCAGTTTTGTGTCATCTTCCAGACCAAGATTTATTTTCCTACTAAATAGACTGCTGGAAGAAATAGAATGTTTAAATGTTCTTTTAGGAAGATTCTGTTAAGTTCATATTGGCTTTTTGTCTGATATTTCAGTATCTTGTGATGTGGTTGGATTATCTCCACCATTTAGCAAATAGTCCACTGCATTCTTGCCACCTTTTAGTATGTTAGAATAATTTATGCTCTCTGGCCTTTTTTTGGCTCCTGCTGGGCCACTATTAATAAAGCTTTCTGTCATTGGAGGTATACCATAGCTATGCTCATTTGAGGTAGAATCACTTGAGAAGTACTTTGAAGAGCTTTTACAATTAGAATCACTTTCATTCTCATCTGCACTTTCACTGTTCTTGCATTCACTTTCCTCAAACGAGTATGTATCTGTATCTGAGTCCTCTATTATTGGCGTAAGAACATGCCTTTTCTCTTCTCCACTCAAGTCACTATAACTAAACACACTATCTTGCTTCAAGCTAGGACTGATATTATGACCTCTTGCATTTATATTTTCTTCATTAGCCTCTTCTTGCGCACTGCTTTCTAAATATCTATCTAGATCTAAAGGCTTTATACTTATAGATCTTACAGGCACTGAGTCATATAAATCACTCATTTCTTCATCTTCTAAATCCTTCTTTCTATTGTTATCCAGATTAGATTTCTTAGATTTATATTTCCTTATACTATTTTGTCTCTGTAATGGACAGTCTTCCTCCAAATTTGGATTAATGGTTTCTTCCTTCTCTTGTGAGTTTACTTTTTTTACATTTTCTGCCTCTTCCAGTATGCTATGTTTCTGTGTACGTTCTTCCTCTATGGGCTGTTTCTTTTTTATTACTTCAACTTCTTCTGGCACTTCAGATTCTTCTGGTGTTTTGAATTCTTTAAAAACTTTAGATTCTTCTGGTAGCTTGAGTACTTCAGACAATTCAGGGACTTTAATTTCTTCAACTTCTCCTGGTGTTTTGAGGACTTCCGATACTTTAATTTCTTCTGGTACTTCGAGTATTTCTAGCACTTTGGATATTTGAACTTCTTCTGGTACCTCGAGTACTCCAAATACTTTAACTTCTTCTGGTGTTTCGAGTGCTTTAACTTCTTCGAGTATTTCTGGCACTTCGGACATTTGAACTTCTTCTGGTACCTCGAGTACTCCAAGCACTTTAGCTTCTTCTAATACTTCGAGTGCTTCAGATTCTTCAATATCTTCAGACAATTTAACTTCTTCTGGTGTTTCAAGAACTTCAGAGTCTTTAGCTTCTTCTAATACTTCGAATATTTCAGAGTCTTCAACTTCTTTAGGTTCTTCAATTTCTTCCAACAATTTAACTTCTTCTGGTTCTTCTGGCATTTTAGCCACTTGAACTTCTTCTAGCACTTCAGATACTTTAGCTTCTTCTAGCACTTCGGGCACTTTAACTTCTTCTAGTACTTTAGATACTTCTGACACTTTAACTTCTTCTAGTACTTTAACTTCTTCTGGCACTTCGGGTACTTTAACTTCTTCTAGTACTTCGGGTACTTCAATTCCTTTTGATACTTTCGGGTTTGTAACTAAATCGGCCTCCATGCGATATATATTCTGAATGCATACTCCAACTCCAACCAGAAATATAGTTCCAATAACACTAGCAATTGAGATTATATATAACTTTTTTATTCCTGGGCTTCTTTCCATTTCTTTTCATGTTCTGCTATATTTAAAGAAACACTTTGATTTTAGATAATTTTTACTATACCTGCTTGAAATGCACTGTAGAAAGCATTTTTAGACTGATTTGGTACAGAGTGAATTTTCAATGCACAGAATCTGCATATACTTTGTGAGTGCATATTTTTCTTAGCCTCTATATTCTTATTTGTGCAAAAAGCAAATTATACTTTGAATTACTTTGAGCCTACGTATGCATTAATATTTCCATGATCTACTGTCTCTATCTATATCGTGGTAGAGTTCTTATTTCTCGAATCGAGGACATAATATCACTGATATAAAGGAAAATAACTCTAGAAAATCTATTAATCAAAAGGACTTCATATAATCACGTGGGGATATTTAAAAAAGCAGTACATCTTAATTACCAAGAATAACAGTCATAGTACATCCAGACACTAGTAACAATACACAAATATAGCCTGAATTGACAACTACCCTATCTATCTTAGACTGCTATCTCCTGTCTGGAGTGTTGCTCTCTTTCGAAATGTGATTTTTCTATATAGAATGTGCCATGAAATGAATGTTTGTATAGTATGCGCGTATTTAGACAAGAATATGCTTTCTTTCTGCTTCTTTCATCTTTTTTAGATTAATTTGCAGAGTGCAATTGTGTTTTTTCTACTACCGTGTCTTTGTAAAAATGAAAAGTGTCTATATATAATTATAATGCTGGGTAGAGTGAAGGCTATAGTAGATGAAAATATGAAAATTATATGGTAGCCATGAAAGAGAAAAAAGAAAGTTTGGATAGAGGGGGTGCTAAATAGCAGTATTAGTAGGATAAATATGGTTTATTGCAAAGCGACACATAATACTATATTTAAGCAATAGCTAGTAGTATTGCCATATTTCCGTTAGTTATCAGCTGTGGATTCTCGACTAAAAATGCATCTCCTGCCTCAGAGATAAAGGTTTTTGCGTTTTTCTTCAGTTCCGCAAGATCTATCTCTATCTTTTCCTTTGGATTGTATACCGCTTGGCTTCCTTCTCCATGCTCTCTTACATGAATGTACATGGTAGGATAGTGCGGGAGGGTCTCAATGTGTATGTGCAAAAAGGCCTCGGGATCTTCCTTTACAGTGGGAAGGTTCAGCACTCGTGCAAATAGCAGACGAAGGGCCTTTTCATTATCAGAGACTGTGCCGCTTGAAGTTCCCAGCTCTGCATAGTCTAGCTCAACTGTCTCCTCAAATGTTCCTGACCGAATGTTTACCTTGCAGGATGTTTCACTTGCCTTTGACTTTATCTTCTTCTCTGTAAGTTCAACTGTAAAGCTGAGAGAATGCCCAGAGCCACACTCCATGATCATTGGAAGAATTGGGTGGTCTATTGATACAGTGCTGAACCGCGTGAACCCAGCAAGCCATGCGAAAAATTCTTCCTCCATCTTTGGCGAGTCTGTGTTTGGCTTTATCTCTGCCAAGTTGTCTCTCTTGATTGCGTTTAGGATAGGCCGTGCCGAGAAGTAGATTCTGTAGTATGCATAGTCCACAATATTCAGAGCAATATTTTCGATCTTGCTCTTGTATACGTTGTATGCCACATTGATTCCGCTCCATGCAACTAGGTCCTTTTTGTTAAAGATACCAAAGGACACATTGGATTTCAGTGCATCCCGGATCTTCTCAACCAGGTTCTTCTTTTTGTAGCTGTAGAGTGTTGTGTAGATCACCTTCTCGCCATCTATCTCTTTTACAATTGATAGCTTTAGGAAGATAGACTCCCCAACAAGCAGACATACATAGTTTACTGGGCCAGTTTTTTTATCCGCGAGGTAGGAGTACAGGACGTCAAGAGCATCCCATGTGTCCTCTGCGCTCTTTCTAGTGTGTACTTTCTTTGAAAGGGGCTCTGGTGCTCCTAGGAACTCTCCCACAGTTATAACTTCGTTCATGGCTGAAGAGTTCTCTGGCTTTTTGATGCATGCAGCAAAGGCTAGTGACTGCATAAACGTGCTAAGCCATGGCTCTTTTGTGTCATCTTCCAGGGCCTTGCAAAGAGCGTCTAGAAGAGCAAACTCGTACATCTTGCTTGACTCCAGATCTCCCAATGGGTTGTACACCCGGATGTATCCAAATAAAGTGTTTTTGTTCAGATCCATTTCAATCTCTGCTCTGCATCCTGGTTTTTTGTACTCTAGTATCTCCAAGGTGTCCCGGGCTGTTTGCACAAACTCAGCACTTCCAGTGTTTGAGAGAGCCACCACCTGGTCAAAGATGGGGGTCAGCTGCAGAGCCTCCTCCACAGTGCATGGCGAGTGGATGGTCATTCCGCATGCAGACACTTTTTCAATCATCCCATCGCGGGCAGCTATCTTGATGGAAACAGGGCCCTTTTTGTACGTCCATCCACAGATTGACGACAAAAGACTTATTCCATAGACCTCTTCGCTTCCATAGTACTTGCCTTCCTCTATCTTATTCTTTTCTACTTTTGATACTTTCACCAGCCTTCTTAAGTACTTCATGGCATCATCAAAGATTCCTTCAAGTGTTCTGTTTGGGGTTGCTGAGAATGCAATTAAGATGTTGTCCTTCTTGACGCTCTTCTTTTTGTATCCAAATAGTGAGACAAAGTGGGCCAGCTTGTACTTCTGGATTGACTCCACTGTGGTCTTGCCAGACTTGTCAATAGACTCTATTGTGTAGTCACTGCACACAGCTCTTTCAAGCAGCTGCATGTTTTTCTCATGCGCGCTGCATATACTCTCGCTCTGCTCTGCTGCAGACACCTTGCTTAAGCTAATGTGGTTTGGCAGCACCATTGAGAAAGAGACCTCTGCAGTCTCTCCTGACTTTAGAGCAAGCACTTGCTTGCAGAGATTCTTAAGCGAGGACCGCAAGCTGTATCCTTTGTATTTGAAGTATGGCTCAAGAAGTTCCATATATCCAGAGCCTGGATTCTTTGAGACAACCTGCAGCCGGAATCTGTGCACTGAGCAGTACTCAATTCCCTCCGCAAATATGCTGCACACAAGAGGCGCCTTGTTTGACATATAGTTGGATGGTGCAGTAAGTCTAAGCGTAATCCATACTATTCTGTCGTTGGAGATCTCCTTTGCCAAGAACTGCATATACTTCTCATCAAAGTTCGAGTGCATTTTGTTAATTCCGTCGACGAACTCTGTAAGTTTTTCTGTTGTGTCGTATAGAGTGGTTGTTTTGTACAACTTCACTGCATTCTTCATCTTGGTGTATAGCTCCCTGTCTTCATAGAACGCACAGTCCGTGCATCTTCCACACAGATTATCATTGCAGGTCTTGCCAGCTGTGTATATTCTCTCTGGATAAATTCTTTCTAAGTCCCCAACTGCAGTTTCTTCAGTTATTTCTGTTACAACAATGCTTGGTGTTTGCGCAGCATACGAGTGGAAGGTGTTCAGAGGCTGTCCCTCTACGTAAGGAACCAGCGCATCTGTGCCATCGCTCGAAGCCATGTGCATATTTATATCCGTGCCTTTTTCTTCTGCCATTTCTATTGGAGGTCTTTCATTTTCTGCGTCTTGTCCATCCCCTGCAGAAGAACCCATCATATAGTAGATGTAATATATAACGATCATTGCCACAGACAAAAATGTACCCAGTGCAAAGAAAAGATACTTCAGAAGCTTTCTTCCTCTTATATACCTCTTAAATCTAATCAATCGCTCAGATATAAACGACCGACGTTGCTCGTCTCTCTGATCAATTTGCATATTAAAAAATGAGTGAAAACCCATTATTTTCTTAAAAATAAACAATGGCAGCAGGTGCAGAACAAGAAATATACGATGCAATTATTTTGGGCACGGGAATAAAAGAGTCCATCTTGGCGGGGCTACTGTCAAACTCAGGGGCAAAAGTTCTGCAGATGGATGCATCCCCTGTGTACGGATCCTCGTCTAGAACCATTCAGTATGCAGACTTTGTACAGGAAATGAGGGCGAAGTATCCTGCGCAGATGCAGTTCAAGCATGCATTTGGGGAGCTGGAGGCAGCAAAAATATACATAGATCTTACGCCAAAGATATTTCTAGCGGATGAAGGCCTCATAAAGGTCATTGCAGAGCACAATCTGGCACACTGCATTGACTTTTCAATCATCACCGAGCAGTATATAATAAAAGACAACAGTGCGCCAATTCTTATTCCAACAACAAAGACTGCCGCACTTACCAGCCAGCTGTGCGGCCCCTTACAGATGCTTAAGCTGCACAAGTTCGTGAACATGATAAAAGGCTTCTACAATGCAACAGAAAGCGAAAAAGCTGCAATTACAGCGCAATGGAAGTGCGTGGAGGAGCTATACAACTACTACGGGATATCGCAGTCTCTGCGGGGAATAATTGGGCACGGGATAGCTCTTTATCCCTCAAGCGGGTATTTACAGGAGGAGCCTTCTGAGTTTATACACCGCCTCACAACATACTTTAAAAGTGTGGCCCGTATTAACGGGGAGAAAACAGGGGGAAATTCGCCCTTTCTGTATCCAAAGTATGGCATCAGTGAAATATCACAGGGATTTGCCAGACTCTCAGCAGTCAAGGGCGGTGTGACCCGAATGGCTACATCAATACTTGCAATGAATAGGGAGGAAGACAGATATGCGCTGTCTCTTCGATCAGAAGGAGAGCAAGATGATCTTGTATATGGGAAGACAATAATTGCAAACGATCAGTACTATGCGACTATTCCAAACTCTGTCCGAAGGAAAGTCCGTACCGTGAGGGGCGTATTCATCCTTCACTCTCTTCCAAATGCAAGAAGTAAGCAGGCAATGATTATCACTCCAGGGCGTGCAGGGATCTTCCTTCTTGTAGTAGGAAAAGACGAGGAGATGTGCCCAGAAGGATATTCCATAGCCTATATAACAGCAGAGTATGATGGGCCGGTGGATGGTGTAGACCAAGTAATTAGCTCCATAGAAGTGCCTCCCTTCCTAAAGGAAATAGCAGCACCGGCAGTTAACCAGATATACGCATGGAAGTACTCTATCATGCAGCAGTTCCTGTGGATTGATGAAGCATACGAAGGCATAGAGAAGCTTGACCCAAATGTAATCTGCCTACAGCCCATGGATAACACAGTCGACTTTAGATCTGTTCTATCTGAGGTTCAGAGTGTGCATAAGCTTTTTTCAACCCGCACCTCTGTCTAAAATGATGTTAAATCTGCTCAGGGTGCATGAGAAGCATTTCCAAAGAGAGGCATATAAATACAGTGAATAAATCAGGCCATCCGTGCCATATGTTAAAATATAGCCCAGCTTATCCTTAAGCTTTGTCTAGAGTGCTTTTATACTTTTCTGTTTTCTGCAAATGCGCGGGTTTATTGGCATCTGTAGGCTGAAGACACCATGGAATGCAACTTTGTATCTGGTTTAAAATTCAAGCACACGATCTTAAGTTTAAATATACCTTCTGCCTACACAGCACATGTAGTGGAAAAGAAAAAGATGAAATACTCACAGAGTGCAAGTAAATCCTCTCATATAAAGTGTTGGTTTTCCATGCTAAAATAATATAACCCAATAGTCTATGGATTTTCTTGAGATTCATGCAGGGCTTGCATTTCTGCATGCGCAGTTTTACTTCCACTAGAATATAGAGTATACTCTTCTATGCATAGCTCATAGTACTAGGCTGCAAAGAAATTTGGGAAAGTGAAATTATTTAATGGCTATGCGTACCTAAACTATAGAGTCTGCGAGAAATCTATGCGCATTTGGGTTATATCCAAAGGAAGCCATGCTTCTTGCTTAAATTAGAAGTGCAATTTAAGAAAAGGCGGAAATGCGCCCGCACAGAAATAATAATCTGAAGTGCACCCAAATGCCTCTTCTGCAAATTACTTGAGTACTGCAATATGCATATGCAAAAACACTCACCCTTTGCGATTCTTCTAATTGAAAAGTGTCTGCCAAATTACCTTCTTCTATTTTGTTACGCATGCATTCTCACCCATACTCCAGCATTCTATGATTTCTGTGGAATTCTCCTGCTTGCCCATGCTTCTAACAGGCCCTGTTCCTAGCCAGCAGCCATCCACTCCACATAGTTTATTTTATATTAAAAGTTTCTATAAGACTCAAGCAGAAAATTATTTAAAGTTTACATGATCATGAACTTACGACCACAGCACGAAAAACTTCTTCGAGAAATTTACAAGAGAGACGGATCCGTAGACGAACAGAAACTGTCCTTTTTCAAGCACTATCTGCAGCAGAAGCCCATGAAAATCTCAGAGACAATTAACATTTTGAAGGACTACACAAAGAAGTATGCGCAATCGAATCAGTTTGAAAAACATCTGACAACCATTGTGATCTCATCGCATCTAATCCAGGACTACTCCATGTTCTGCACGTCCTTTGAGGTGGCGGCCTTGAAGCTTATCAAGACACACTTGAAGGTTATTCTGCGGGTTATGAAAAAAGGGCCGCAATCTTGCCCTGCAGGGTTCATTGAGACGTGCTGCGAGGAGATGAAAAGGTGCTTTTTCCTGTTTACGTATGCAGGAACCAGGTGCTCAGAGGCAGAGAGCCTTACCTCCCAGATATTCCTTGCCATATGCAGTGCAATTGACAATGGGTTTGTGTCTGAGAAAAGAGACCCGCTTGACAACACTGAGATATACGAAAGAATATCGCAGGTGTATGCAGGGAATTGGAACACGCTCTCAACAATTAACATAAAAAAGAAGGAAGGCGAGGACGAAAGAATGTCCACAATCAAGGACCCAGATGACGAGTCATACAGCACGGATGCCACCGCGTCATACAACTTTGCAGAGATGTCGTACAACTACACAGACGACAAGTCTTCCTCGTCCTCATCTATATTTTCTGTGCATGAAAAGACAGAGATGGAGAAGGTTCCAGAAAAGGCAGAGGAGAAGGACGGAGATCTGGCGCTTGAGGAGTCTGCATACAACTCAGAGGTTGCCCGAATGCAGGAAATGTCCATACGAAGTGGCACGCCCGACAGCACAAGAAAGGACTTCATCACAGGAGCGGGGTTTATTGTGAAGTGTGACAGTCTTTCCAGAGTGGAGTTTAACGATAGGTTTCTCCTCAATATTCTTTCCATGATAATTAAGGCGTCTGGGCTGCTTGTACGCCATGCAGAAAAGAAGATCTCAAGCTTGAACAGGGCCCTCATTAAAGCAGCGCCGTTCAACAGAGAAATACGCCAGGACATATTCAGCACGTACTTCCATCTTCTCGCGCCTGCATCCATTCTATCCACAGTTATATACCAGGCGCTGGAGATAGCAAGCGAGCGAGAGATTGACAGAATGCACACAATTATATACTACCACATCAGCAGTGACTGCTATGCGGATTTAATTAAGCAGTCAAATTCTATTCTGACATCAAGAAGGCTGAAGATGTTTGAGTCTGCGAATAACGAAAAAACCAGGCGCACGTACATTCTTCTACTCTTGCAAATAGTTTCGTTCATAGGCAATGTGGAAACAACAGACCCAACTGCACATATTGCAAAAAGCTTCTACTTTCTGCTGCGGTCTCTCTACCCAAAGAAGACGCTCTTCCGAAAGATAGTGCTCACGGATGCAGATATGCAGGAGCGCGCGCTGACTGTGAAGTACTTCAAACTGTTTGTGACAAAGTCCCATGACAAAGAAAATCTATTCCACTCTCTTCTTAGGAGAACTTTCCAGAAGGAAGTGGGGATAGGTTCATCGACAGTTCCTGCAGACCTGAAGCTTCTCATTTCAAAGGAGATGGAGTCTACAATTATGCACCTAGAAAAGTGCTCCTCTCTGGGGCTTTTGGAGGTGCTTCTGGAAATAGTGGGGTCGCCAAATCTGCAGTTCAGAGAATACATCAGCAGCACGCTTGAGCTGATGGTTGAGCGAGGAATTCTGGAAAAAAGATCGCAGTTTGAAGAGCATAAAAGAATTAGCTTATTCGCAAAAATAAGGACGCAAGCCATACAGCACGGGGGCTTTTATGTTTCCTTGTTAAAGAAGTCTATTCCTACGATAAATAAGTCCGAAATAAAAATAGTTGCCGGCGTATTCACAATACTGAATGAGGTATCTGGCTTGGAGGAGTGCGGCAAGTATGTAGATATTTCAGGAACACATTACAACATAGAGGAGGACAACAAATTATGTAAAAGAGAAAGCAGCGTGCAGGGAAGCAGTGTCAGATCAACCATGACATTTGGGGGTGTGCGAAAGAGTTCGATTAAACTTTTTGAAATGTTTAAGAAATTGAATAAATAATGATTCCTTCTGTGTTCCTTCCTAGATATATTAAAGAATTTAGCAAAGCCCTACACTAATATCCATCTGCAGCAAAGCCCAGAGGATACTTTTGGGCGCGAATGTATATTAAAGAGAGACACTTTTTATTTGCATGAAAAGAGTACGAAGCAAGAAAATAGAAAATGACAAAAAGCTAAGCGTACTCTACGAACAGGAGGTAGACATGTCTCGTGTTCAGGAATATACAGGCCCAGCACTTGCCACAGGTGTGGAAAAGGAAGAGGAGGAAGAACACCACCTAAAAGAGATTATATCCAGAAGGGCCCGAGACATTCCTACCCCGCGAATAGAGAAAGCAGCGAAGCAAGAAATAAAAAAGAGAAAGACGCAAAAGAGCCAGGAGGCAGAGAAGGAGGCAGTACATGAGGAGCCAGCAAACTATTTGGAGGACACAGGGGATGTAAACCAGCCAGACATTGAAAGCATAATTATGCAGGAGGGTGACTTGCCTGCAGAGTATCTCCCCTTTGTCTGCTTCAGAAAAAGAGAACTAAAGACACTTAGAAAGGCAAGAAAGTCTGACAGCTCTGTTGAAAAGATAAAGAAGATAAAGGTAGACCTGCAGATGATTAGAAGACTCACAGAGCTGACTCTGCAAAGGGACAACTATCTGTCGCAGCATCTAACCACAATCTTCAATATTTTCAGCATATGTAGAGAAATGAACAAAAGGCTTGATATTGGCGTGCTAAACATAAGCGAGAGTATTCTCAGAGATATTTTGTTCACCAAAATAACCAGCAAAAGCGATCTTTTCTACAAGAGAATACCTTCCTTTACCAATCTGTATCTCTGCAGGAAGAGCATTGGCGGTCTTAGAAAGCTATTGAAGGCAGGCCCACCCCCTGAGCACAGATTGGAGCTCACAAAAAAGGAGATAGACTACCTCAATACATATTATTAATGTACACAATAGAGCAACGCAGCTGCAGTTGTCTTGTATTATGTGCTCGTGTTTCTTCAAGTGAATGAGCACTGGAGTGCATGCTAGGCCAGCTGAAATGAAATAAATATTTAGAACACAATGTTTTTGGGCTGCTTATATAAACATATCAAGCAGCATCTTCAGACTATGCAAATAATTCTTATGCTGTCTCTTTGTGGACTGTGTCTGTAGTTGAATTCTATTTCTGTTTTACCATCTTTGGTTTTATTCATCTTTCGTCTATTCTTTTGCTTGAGAGCTTAAATCTAGCCCATTAGATCAAATACTATTAGAAAGTATATGCAGCATGTATCCATAAAAATAAAAGAAAAAGAACTTTCCACTGAAGAAACCTGCCTATAATTTAGACCCCAATCCATATCTTTTATCTTTGCAGAGCGTTTTGAGATCTGCGTGTTTTAGTGGGGAGTAAAAGGGTCTTTGTGCCGATTTGTTTTGGTGGAATGCAGTATGCATGCAGAGCAGCCTATAAATAAAAAGAAAGTAAAATGCATTTTGCACAGAGAATCTGTTGCAGCAGCTGTTTTTCAATGTGGAAGAAGGGCCTATTGCAGAAAAACACTGCACTGCGTAACTGGTTTTATAGTTACATTTTTTAAAATATTTTATTCCATGGAGGATACATGCAGTAAAAGACGCTTCAGAATTGCAATTGACGGGCCTGCTGGCGCTGGAAAGACTACACTCGCAGGAATACTTGCCAAAACCCTTGGGTTTGAGCATATTAACACGGGGATGATCTACAGAGCGCTTTCCTATGTGCTGCTAAACGAATTTGCAGATGCCTCAAAGGAGGAGCTAGAGCGCATTCTAAGCAGCAAGAGTGCGCAGCTTACTGAAACAATCCAGGGGTTTTCTCCATTTATAATGAAAGACCAAGTGGTGGTGAACGGCGCTGATATAATTGGAGAGCTCAGAACACCCAGGATAGACTCAATTGTGGGAATAATTTCAAAATATGAGATAATCCGGAGAAGGGTGAAAGTGATACAGAAGAATCTTATAGATGCCCATCTGCAGGTTGTAGTGGAGGGAAGAGACATTGGATCCGAAATCATTCCTGATGCAGAGCTGAAAGTATATTTGGAGGCATCCGTGGAAGAGAGGGCCATTCGCAGAGAGAAAGAAAGATCAAAAGATCAGGACGGTCAAAATGATCAGAATCTAGAGGAAATTGAACAGGAAATTAAGGAGCGGGACTATCTTGACTCTACTAGAGAGATATCTCCACTGGTCAAGCCTTTGGATGCAGTTGTTGTAGACAATACAAGCTTAACAGTTGAAGAAACAGTAAAGAAGATTCAAAAGATAGTTGCACAGAGAATGAGAATGTAATAAAAGCATTTAGATGAACTAAATTCGGGTTAGATGTGCACGGACCAGGAGATCTTCTCATGCTTCATGCATTCTATTCCTCTTGGCTTATTCCTCTAGTTGTTCATTTTGGCTATCGCTGACTCTAGCCCGTGCGTTGCCAGAGCAGGCCATGCACCGGCACATTATGAGGTATACCCGCCAGATCTGCACCTTAACTGCTTCAGAGTCTGCGCCTGAACATGCGGTGAATTTTCTTGCACATTTGCATGCAGTCACTGCACATTCGAATTTATTTACGTAGTTGCAATTTCTGGATGGTTTGCTAGAAATAGTAGAGTAATACGCCATGCATGCTAGCTTCATCCTGCGCGTAAAATATTTCTCTGTTCCAGCACAGAGCTCTTACACAGAGTGGGATTTATGAAAAACCAGCAATAGATAGAAAAGTGTGCACGCGCAGGCACTTTCTGATTGATAATGTACTGAAACTTGGTTCTTTCAATTTTCGCGCACAGTTATTTATTTGCAGTATTGTTTTGATTCTTAACTTCATTAATCACCTTTTTGTGCTCCATATCAAACTTCTCTTTTACTTTATAGGCCTGCCCAAGCAGGATCTTAAATGGATCTTCTATTTCAAGCTCCGGATTCTTTTTTTTGCACGCAGACTGCGCTTCTGAAATTCGGGTGCTGTATTTGTCCATGATGCGCTGGCTGAGTATATGCATTACTGCACTGTAGAACACAGTAAGATTTTCTAAATTATCGTAGAATTTGTAGATGTACATTCGGATTAGAAACCTGGGGCTTCTTAAAAAGTGTTCTTCTGTGAAGCTGTTGAACGTCTTAGGCTCCTTCAAATGCTTCTTGCAGATGCACTGCCGTATGTTATTATAATCTGTGAATATGCCAGACACTCTTTCTACTTCCTTGGTGTATCGCAGCAGTCCACTCTCTAAATCCATTGGAACTTTGCACAGCTTATTCTTTATGGATCTTTTCCTTTTTATCAGAAGCACCTTTTCTGTTCTATCAGATGCGCTCTTCTTCATGTAGAGATGCACAGGCACTCCTTCTGAGAGAAGAAAAAAAGCTGCAATTACAATATCTTTATGCTCTTGCATGGCAGAGCTTGCAAGAAACTTGTAGAACTTGCTTGACTCATTCAGCTCTACTTCTGTTCCATCTTTTTTTAATCTAAATACCTCTAAAAATACCTGGCTGCACCTATCTAAATAATCTGTAACTGACCCCTTTACGCCTCCACTGCACACTATGTACTTTTTAAGGCACGCATTACAGTCTTTCTTCCCTGCTCTATACATTTTGGAATTCTTTTCTGCCTGCAGCCGGGCCTGTGTCTCTTTATAATATAGCAAAAGAACTCGTGCTCTGTCTATATAGAATGGATACAGCGGGCAGAGAGGCCCTTTTGGATTTATTGCTGCCTTTGAAGCATACCCAAATGGAATTCTCACCGTGTGAATCTTATCTATCTCCTCAAGCGATAAAGCACTAGATATTCTACACCCACACATTAAGATGCACCCTACGCAAAACATAATTATATTTGTCTGTAGCTCCTTTTTTCTGTGCATTTTCCTCTTAAAAGCTTTTACCTTGCAGAAATATTTTACTGCATTGATTTTTCTATCTTACCTGGCCTAATATGCAACTGATTCGGACTATATCCTAACTGTTTGTTTTCTTTTACAGCGCTGCAGCCTATTCTTTTCTTGGCACTTTTGTCTTTTGATGCAGCCTTGGCTCTAGTTATATGTCCAGGGATGTTTTTATTTTTTTATTCGTATGCGCAATAGCACTGCTCTGTTTGAGGATATATGTGGGCTTATTATAAGGAATGAAAATAAAGATGAGTCACTAAAGAGGCTGCGGACTATTCTATCTGAGAGTGAAGAGTGCAAATCCAGAATGGCTGAGCAGTTTGGCATTTTAACCGTATTTCTTAAGGACATTTCATCTGTGTATGAGTATTTGGCTTTGGAGAGAACTACTATACCAGAGAACATATACACAATTCTAGAGATCATCACTCTGTTGACAGACATAGATAGCTTTATATTGTATGCAATTGACTCTAATTTACTCTTATTTCTGTATCCAATAATCAATTCATCAATTAGGAACGAAGAGATTGAAGAGCTCAAGTACATCACATTCCAGATCATCAAGTGCATCCTTAAGAAAAACAAGATTGAGAATCTGATTGAGTTCTTCAAGAACACAGAGTTAGTACCGCTTTGTCTGAGAAACATGGAGCTGGGCCGAAAGAAAACAAAAATAGAAGCAAGTGAGGTCTTCTATCTTATTATTTCTGTTCAAGACGGCCTAGAGTACTCGTGCCAAACATACGATCGATTTATGGCGATCTCCATGATTCTTAACTCTGTGCTTGTGCAAATGGAAACAATCCAGTCCCCAAGACTTCTAGAGCTAACTATAAAGATATACACAAAGCTATGCAATATGCCAAATGCAAAAATAGCCTTCAATAAAAACAGGCCGCACATGCTATACACAGAAAGCATTCGCGAATTAGTCAGGACACACCCGAATGTTAAGGCTGCATATGACGAGTTTTTGAGCATACTTCAAAACTAGCCAGAAATGACTTCTGTGCTAATAAACGAGTGGCCAGCAGCTATATCTGGTTGATTTACAGATGCATATGAACTCAGGCTGTTTGGCTGTATATGAAGCTTATGAAAGTCATTGAGACACTTTCTTCCATATGCATTCCTAGTATAAAGTGCCATTTTGTGTGGCTTATTACATCGTGTAGATAAATGTAATCGAAGTAATAAATATATTTCTTAGTTTATTGGCTTTCTCTGCATAAATCCTCCTATGATTGAACTGCACAGCACAGAGGCTCCATTCTACTTGTTTGTTTTTTATTTGCTGTGCGCCTCTGAGAAGGGGAGTATAAACCATTGCCAAGAATATTACAGAAATTTTCTCATAAATACGCATATACTCATCTAAATGTATTATTTATTCGATTTTGACTATCAGGACTTCTACTCCCAGGTAGCTATTCAATTAGCACCTTTCTGTCAGTGACACGCCTTCCCCTGAAAATGGAGAAAGACCTATGAACAGGCAGAAGACCCAATAGAGGCTAAATAAGAATAATATTTTATTATCATTATCTAAGCATTCGGCACTTCTGAAATAAAAACTAAAAGGCATAGGGAATTGGTCGTCTACTCATTACTAGCAGAGAATTCTTCTATTCGGTTTGTAATAGCCTGGCTATCCAATTATTTTGTTTGTTATAGTGGCACAGCTATCCTGGCTGTAGACACTCGGCACATCCTTCGTTTTTCATTCATGTTTGTATATTATATTTTTGCCTCCTTTCTTTTCGACTGCGCACATCCATATTCTTGTTTTGTATGTCTTATATAGTTCTTTAACTAGCTCTCTAAAGTCAATTCTTTTGTCGCTTTTGAAGTGGAAAGTCAGCTTGTTTCTATCCCACTGGTACTCTGCACTAACAATTTCCATTGGCAATTTCTTTTCTTTTACCTTTTCTCGGCAACTATTTACAGCTATTTGTTCTAACTCGTTCTGCTCTAGTAGCATAAGCTTATCCTTGTCGGTTGCGACTCTGTATATTTTTTTTGTTTCAATCGTTGCTATGTTATATTTCTCTGCCAGCTCTGATATGCAGTTTGTGTCGATTACATCAACAATGACAGATCCGCAATCCTCCCCCCTATCGGCCTCTATAATAACAAAAGCCCCCTTCACCAGAAAGAGATTCTTGTATATTCCAAAACACCTGCCTCCGCTGCCAAACTGCACTATGCATACGCTGCTGCCAAAGTATCCTGTATTTCTGGTTATTTCTATCGCACTCTGCGCTACAGAGGCAAACATGCTCGGGTCAAGAGAGTGTCTTCGAAGGTGTGCAAGGCACCCCTTTTCCGAAAGTATCTGCTGGGTGGCTCTGTGCGTATTTGTGTCCTTAGACACTATTTTATCGTCACTATCATGCCCCATTTCTGGAAATGCATTGTAAAAATTTATATTATTTAGGGACATACTTCTTTTTCTGCCCTCTTTTTGCTCAACAGGAGCAGCATACTTGGGTGGCTGGCTGTTTATGCTGTTCGACCGAGTTCTGAAAGAGTTTCCAATAATCTTCCAGTCCTTACTATTCATGTACGACCAGATATTATCACTAATAAATGGGGATAATGCAAATGTATTCTCTCTGTCTTTCATAAACCACAATATTATCTAATAAAAAATAAAAATAAAAATAGATAATTAACACGTAACAAAACGTGTCAGAATCAAATAACAAAAGGAGCACATGGAATAATGTGTGGGAAATGACCTACAGTAATGGGTCTTTTGAAGAGCTCCTCAGAGACTGTGTTTTCAGATACTCTGCCCCACTAAAAAGCAGATTTTTGCGCATAGTTATGATCTCAATCAGATATTATCTATGGAACTCCATGCATATTCCTGCTTAAATGCAAATTCTCCTTGGATGGCTGCACAGAACCTAGCAACCAAAGGGCTCTGCGCTGTTTGTTTCCCATGAAACCAAATATTTGATACCTTGGTTATGGCTCTCTATAACAATGTATAGGATATTGTTGTGGACCCACACTATCACTAAACACTGGGGAGATGCGTGTTTCTACTTTGTAAAACAAATTCATATGTGTTTCTGTGGCCGCCGCTATGAAATACTTGCAAATGAATGGCTGGAAGGGAACTTTGGCATTCAGGGCCTACTATAAGGAAAACTTGTTACCTAACTTTATTTTAGACTTCATTTTAGAGCATGCAGCAAAGACATAATACTATGTGCGCAAAATTCCCAGGCCCCAATTTCTGCTGATCATATCTTCTTGATCTGTTGTAATGTCTTTTATGCATATGCTATTTCTAATTTAATCAGGTTAGTCTAAAGACTTTTGATTTTTCAAAGAAAATGCAGCACTCTAAAAATACGCATGCATGGGCAGCTTAAATACCAAATGTGGAAGGTCTGCTGAAGGAGTGTACTAATAATATAAATCATCAGATTTAAGTGTAAACCACATGCTTTTGTATGCAGCATGTCTATGTTTCTAGGAGTGAACACAAAGGATATATAAAAACTCTTAGAGCTGTAAGAAAGACTAAGGACACGCTTAAAATACTGTAATGGTTAGTGCTTGGCCTTTTTAGTCATTAGAGCAGTGTTTTTATTAATTAGTTAATTAATTGTCCTCTATCACACAACCTGTCATTTAATTAAATAATTAATTAGCGCAAGTATATTAGAGCTCAGTAGAAAATAAATTATATATTTGCAAGCAATCATTTAGAACAAAGAATGCTTTTTCTTTTCTATTGACTCTCGAATAGTTTAGCACCTTGGTATAATCTGAAGCCCTTATATTCCCTGCTAGTTCTGTAGCTTAAATGGTGTTTTATTTGCATCTTTTTGCCATGCATACTGCATATATTGCGCATAAAGATGCACGCCTGCTACAGAAACATTATCTGAAACTGCCAAGTTGCAACTAGACCATGCACCTATATTCACTCAGAAATACAACTAAGACACCCTAGAATATCTTAAATTATCACACATATTTTCTCATGCAACCAAAGGATTCTTTAATTATTTTTGCAGCCTTTCTGCTTTTCTCTATATGGAGTTGCATCTAGTTCATTTGAGGTGCATATTTTCATGTATGGTTTTGGCTTTGAAGATACTGTACTAGTGGTTTCTGCTAGTTTGTTTGGGTTACATCTACAGCAATTCTTCTTTGAACTTCTCATACATCTGTGTTTTATGTCTTGCGTGCTGCTGGAATTCAAATAGCTTTTATAGCATGGATTTTTTGAAATGTCCTGTTTAGCTGGTTTCATTGAGCGCCACTAAATACACGTATGCTATGCGTGTTTATGCGTATATATTCCAGGTTTTGTGCATTTTTGCTCTCTATTTGCAGGTTTGCTGTATGAAGTGTCTGCTGTTTTTTTATTTTCGGTTGTATATAATTTTAAATTTTTTCTATCCCTGTAAGTATGAGTCATAGAAAATACGAAGCACCAAGACACGGTTCCCTCGCATTCCTCCCTAGAAAGAGAGCAGAGAGAATAAGACCAAGAATCCCATCCTACCCACAGGACGATGCCACCCAGAAGGTGCATCTTACAACATACTTTGCATACAAGGCTGGTATGACCCACGTATTAAGAGTAGGAGAGAGAGAAGGAAGTAAACTCAACAAGAAGGAGATCATTGACCCAGTAACTATTTTGGAGACCCCAAAGTGTGTTGTGTTCGGAGTTGTAGGATACAAGAAGACCCCACGTGGTCTTGTCAACGTAAAGACAGTTCTTGCAGAGCACATTGACGAATCCGTTAAGAGAAGATACTACAAGAGATACTACAGATCCAAGAAGACTGCCCTCTCCAACTACCCACTCAAGTACAAGAACGGAGTGATCGAGCAGGAGATCCAGGCCATCAGAGACAACGCAGATGTTATCAGAGTGCTGATCCACAGTCAGGCACCAAAGATCAAGATCCTGAACACCAAGAAGGCCCACATCATGGAGTCCCAGCTCAACGGTGGAACCATCCAGGAAAAGATTGACTTTGCACTTGCACACTTTGAGAAGGAGATATCCTCCCAGGACTGCTTCTCTAGAGAGGAGATGATTGACATCATTGGAGTGACCAAAGGAAAAGGATTTGAAAGTTGTACCAAGAGATGGGGAACTACCATCCTCCCAAGAAAGACAAACAAAGGTCTCAGAAAGGTTGCCTGCATTGGTGCATGGCACCCAAGCAGAGTCATGTACTCCGTTCCTAGAGCTGGTCAGACCGGTTTCCACCACCGTGTAATGCAGAACAAGAGAGTGTACCTCATGGGCGATGGGCAGAGCACAGATGCATGCAAGACCGAGTACGATCTGACTGAAAAGACAATTAACCCAATGGGAGGATTCACTGGATACGGTCACGTAAACAACGAGTTCATCATGGTTAAGGGGTCAGTAGTTGGACCAAGAAAGAGAGTCCTTGTCCTCAGAAAGATTGTTGGAAGAAAGTACAAGAGCGGAAACGCAGAGTCCATCAACATCAAGTTCATCGATACCTCCTCAAAGATTGGAAGTGGTAGATTCCAGACTTCTGCTGAGAAGAAGCAGTTCTACGGAAAACTTAAATCCGATATTACAGCTGAAAATGAACAGGAAGAATAAACACTTTTCATTTATATTAGCTATGGCTATATCTGGCTCTTTAATTTTCGCAATACACTGCAGGCACAGCAGTTTCTTCTTCTGATTATTTACCACACGAGAACCGCATGCAAAAGGCACGCTGTGCATCTTGCTGTGGACTCTTACTTTTCTGAAATAGCCCTAGACTATGCTAGTGCCCATAATGCACCGTGTGAGTCTATCTCTGTTTCTTTTAGATGCCTCTGGGTATATGCACAGCGGCCTGCCTTTCTAGTTCTCTTTGAGGAATCCTCTTTGCTTTCCTGCCTTTGCTTATACATAATATCTTCGTGCGCTGTATTTCCTTAGGGCATGCATGATTGCGTATTGTGCATACTTTTCTCTGGATATTTATTTGTGCTTTTTTTATTTCCCATGGAGCTAAATGATAAGCTACTTAGATTCGATGCGAAGACTCTGCTTTCCTCAAATACTGGAGATATCTCAAAGGTCTTTGAAGGCACTGTTGATGGCTCGCCTGCTATTCTTACCCTTCATAAGGTGGCCTTCAACGAAGAATATACCTCCCCAAGTGCGCATAAAGTTATCCACGAGAATGATGTATATACAAGCGGCACATTTTTGGCAAGTGAGATGATTAAGTACAGCCTTATACACCCAGCGACAGAGACACAGATTAAAAAGTACAGAAAATCTGAGTATGTTTTGGTAAAGGAAACTGCCGAAATGTATAGAACAAAAACCCTCCCACATGCTCTTAAGCATAGCCCTAACTGCAAATGGATTGACACAATCTTCCAGCAGGCAGACGGGTGCGCCACCCCGTGTATAACCGAAAGCAAAGAGCATGTTCTTTTTATGGACAAGGAGTTCCTGATTTGCCCTGACTTAAAGTGGGATCGAGTAACACTTGAGTCGCTCTATCTTCTAGTTCTGTTCAAAGACCCTAGTATTTACACACTTAGAGAACTCCGCCAGGAGCATATTCCACTTCTTGAGAGAATTCAGCAGGCTGCTGTAGAGGCCCTTGCCATGCACAATTACACAACAGACAAAGTCAAGATATACTTCCACTACTACCCTACCTTCTACAGAGCGCACGTTCACATATCATCTATTTCTTCTTCGTGGCCTGGCACGTCTATTGGCAAGTCTGTCTTACTAAATGATGTAATTGAAGGACTGAAAGTGTCCTCAACATACTTCCAGGATAAAACAATGGAGGTATGTATTTCTAAGGAGTCTTACATGTATTCAATATATTCTGAATAGCCTAGGCATGAGATTCTCTTATCAGAAGAGAACTTAGCAAACATCTGAGCTACTTGTAGTATCTTTTTATTGCTCCATAGTTTCTAGAAACTCATTCATATCACTCTGTTATAAATTACTATTTTTACATAAAGCAAGTACTTTTAGCAGATCTATTTATATACCAAGACTCTGCCATAGTAGACTTACTGCGTGCAAATCTGAAATAATCCGTAGTAGCCTATTCTAGAGTGTTAGTTTTGAGCGCACTTGTAAGAATTAGTTGTTTTAAACATGTAGCTAGACCAGTGGTATGTATATTTAGGGCTAATAATAAATCTTGCCTTGGATTTCATTTTTTAGTAGACTACTTTGGATTATATATTAAAGTGTGCACCTTTGATTATTATATATCTCAGTAATAATAGCTGTGATTGAAGCTCATGATCTTATTTAAGATATGCCTTAAAAGAAGAGTACTTTCAGAGCCTTGATTTGTACATTCAGTCTACTGCAGAGTTGCATATTTCTTTTTTATTTTCATACTCATCATTTCTGTATTTAAGAAGATAAAGCGTATGCACAGTAGTGTCTACTGCTGAAATGAAGAGTTTTAAAGCATTTAAAAAGTAAAAGGCACTGGAAAAAGCAAAGAATTATACGGATGGATTGGTCTAGCAGGATTATTAAATTCTATCTGTACCAGTAAAGAGTATTTATCTTGGACAATTATACTCACTCACAATGTACTATACACCTAAGAGTTTTTATCCAAAAACTTCAATTTCTCCTTTTACTATATGCTATTACATGACGATCCAGAATGTTTCCCGGGTTATATTCGGGCCATGTGTCTTTTGCAACCCGCCAATCTGCATGCTAAAGTATAAAGAAAGCGGCCTGGGCTCTCTCTCCTTTATTTTAATAAAGCTTAAAATTTTAGCTAACTCAAAGAAACTGAATGGTAGTAAATCATCCCAAGCCAGCAATAGGAAAAAATGACATAGAAAAGGTACAATTCATCTTCCCAGATGAAATCTTTTTTGTCCATGGAGAGCAAGACCTGCTTGTTGTTCTTCTAAATGGAAAGGTATTTAAGAGGCAAAGCATAACTGACAATGACCAGAAAAACACAGAAGGCCCAAAATACGTTGAGCTATTTGATCTAAAAGATGTAGTGAAACATGCAGAAACAATAGATAAAAAGCTATATATAGCGACAGCAACTACGCTCTACCGAATAAACAAGGGGGCAGAGGACAAAGAGAAAATTGTTCTGCAGGCAATCCATAAAGATGACTTCTTAAAGATATGCGCGCTCTCTGTTTCAGAGGATGGGGAAATGCTTGTATACGGCGACTATGAAGGAAAAGTAACGGTCAAGACGCCAACCACACAATATGAATGCATAGAACATGAAGATGCAATTGTTGGAATTGTAATCCTGAAGCGAGTGATATTTACAGCAAGCGAAGACGGCATGCTTCTAAAGACAAAAATCGGAGAGACCGAGCCAAAGGATGCATATGAAGTAGGAAAGCCCATCCGATACTTTGGAAAGCTAGACAATAAGCTTGTTCTGCTGGATGCATATGGCACCCCGTACACCCTCAGTAAGACAACAAATGATCTGAGAAAAGAGAAAAAGCTTGTAAGAAAAGTAACATTCGTGAATAAAGTGAGCGATGGTCTCTACGCATCGCACGACAATGACCATTTCAAAATAACAACGTACAAAACAGTAAACCGTATACAAGTGCCTCCAAAAAGAACTGATGGCTTGTTTGAGTACAAGAACAGGCTTTACTTCTATGCAGGCGAAGAAATAACAGGATGGGAGGTAAAGAAAGCAACAGAACTAGAAGAATTCTTTGAGGATTTATAAATGAGTTGCTAACCTCCCACAAAGTAACTTGTAGTAGCTGCATAAATAAATAACTTCGACATACATCCTGTTAAAATTTAAATAGTTCCAAAAAGCTTTCTATTGGCCAGAAGTGCATATTCCTTTCATTTTTATAGCTCGCATATATTTGGGTTACATTTCATCCAATAATGCTTTATATAGTGTCTGCAGCAATGGCATTGCCACTGCAGCTTGATTCGTATTGACAGATAGCGTATGGGTATTTAGCACACTATAATTTGTGCATATAATACGATCCCACTTGTTCTTTTTGCAAATATAAATCGCCCTATAGAATATACTCCTGATTGGCTGTGCAGGCACTAAATATGAAATAGTTAATAAACTTGTAAAATCATATTGATAGATGTATATGTATTTAAATATGCATAAAAAATTCCTACAAATGACAGACCATATTGCAATCTATAAAATCATTGTGCTATGCATGGTATGCAGCTGCATACGTTCTAGTATGTTTGCCGCAAGTAATGAATACAATAGTTCCAATGAAGTAATGGATGAAGAGTGGATGAGAAATATAGATATAAAAGATCTGTACAGTGCTATACCTACCGAGCATTACAACAGTGCGGTCCAACTAGAACACACAAGTGACATGTATGATCTGGGAGATCTAGATGACTTGTATCTTTTAGAAGGAATCCCAGAATCAGCCCACACAAGCAACTCCTACTATCCATATGATCTATTTAACATGGACACTATAAACCAAGCAGAAAATTTAGGTCTTTTTTTAGAAGGCATCCCAGAATCAGAAAATACAAGCAACTCCTACTATCCATGTGATCTATTTAACTTGGACACTACAAACCAAGCAGAAAATTTAGGCCTTTTAGAAGGCATCCCAGAATCAGAAAATATAGATGGTAGATATTACATGCTATGTCCGCCAAACCCGAATAATGGAAATCAAAAAGATAACATAGTTTATATATTCTATAGAGATATCGATGGGCACACATTCTATATAAATAGTGCAGAGTGCAAAATATACATATACCCCACTGGAGATATGGCCTATATCGAAGATATATTTTATATGGTATATAGAGATAGTTTGAACAATCTTGTCTATATAAATAGTTCTGTAGGCCCTTCTACTTTTAACATTGAAGATACATCTAAAGATGAATCAAGCAACCAAGGAGAAATCTTATTTAATAGTCTAACTAGAGAAGCTCCGTTAAAGCGCCTAGCAGAGTCTACTTCAAGTGGGTCAGATGATAATCCAAGTGCGAAAAAATGCAAAAATACAGAAGTTGTGGAAGAAAGTCATAAATCTGCCAAATTAGAAGCATTCGATATAACGACAAACTATATAGATAGTTTTGAATCTTTTCAACACTATAGATATATGGCTCATAGAGACACAACGAGAGATAAACCCCATGGATTTTCATACTGGTTTCCTAACCGTAGCATAAATAATGAAAGTATATCATGCAAATGTGGTATTGGGATAGACTACAAAAATGAAATGATGTTTTGGCACTTTTTAACTAGCTCACATCATAACTCTCTAGCTGAAAAGATTGACTGCATTATTAGTTTAAGTAATGCAAGGAGAGATGCTGAGCATATCCCTAGCAGCCAGATATTCTATCATTATTATTTCTTTTTAAAGGACTTAAAAAAATACATAGAAAGTCACATAAATATAAAGCACATCCGGGCAAAATACAACTACAGAGATGGCAGTAAGAACAATATATGCTCTAGGTCTAAAATAGAGCCAGAGACACTTGGAGAAATATATGAAGAGACCCAAACAGATCTAAAATGGTGGGTCAATAGCATGTCTGTTATCACCGAAAAAACTGAGGAAATTAAGAGTGCAGGATCTGCAGATGCACCACTAAAAGAAAAGCTGCACTTTATTCTAAAGCTACCAGAAATACTCAGAGACCTGGTTCTGATAACCCCCGAGATACTATCAAAGACAATGGAAGAAATGAAAAGAACATCTGATTCAGAGGCTAGCAGGTTTTTCTGCATTATAGAGTACCTATATTACTTAGCGAATGGTGATTCGGATGGAATGAACACAGCATATAAGAAAGTTCAAAAGCTATCTGTGAATAGAAAACCTATAAATAGCCAGAGTACTATGATGGTGTATGGTCTTGTTTATAATTTATTTTGTTTTTTCTACCAATGTGCGCCATTTACATGTGTAACTGATGTTAAGAGTAAAGAAGGCAAATCCCTACACAGAGAAACCCATATTAAAAATATTTTCCAAACCCACTGCCCATACATACCAAAGAATGGAGTTTTCAGACTATGTGGAAAAAGAGCAATTGTAGAGGCAAGGATCAATAAATATACAGAAAACAAAGAGATATTTATGCTAGACCAGTCTATAGATCAAGCTATTGAAACTGTAAAAGTGGTTGACTCTTTTAGCTTGGAAGGTCTAGAAAATGTAAAATCTTTAAAGATAGTGCACAGTGATCACTACCATGTGCAGCTAGTTGACAACATACGCCACACAGTAAAACTCATTCCTATTCCATATCCCTATTGTGAAAATTACAATTCTAGTGATGAATCTATACAAAGGAAAACTCATTCAATTCGATATATAGTAGAGTACATAAAATCTGTACTGAAGTCAACCTATCCAGAAAAGAATTCAGAGTTTAATATCTATCCATTTAAGTATAGTAGAAATAGTGGAATATGGTCATTAATAGATGGGAATTGCAATTGGTATAGGAAGAGAGAATTAGATCTAGCTCTAAGTACAGTGAATAGCCATAAATATGATGTAGTCTTTTACTACTTTGAAGATAATATAACCAAAAATTATTTTAGATGTATAGATTTCCAAATCTCAGTTGGCTCGAGTCTTGAAACTCCTCGAATTCCTTTATTTCTTACAAACTTTATGCTGATAAGTGCTATAATTAGTCCGTATATATTTTTTGGTGAAACATGTATTAAAACCGAAATAATTAAAAATTATGCCACTGAGAAAAAAAGTATTGAACCTACTAAAATGACTATCGATACAGCTGCAACCAGCCAGAGCTCATCTTCCGCATCACCAAGCAACAATGAATCTCAACCAAAAAGAAGCTACATTAATTACTACTACAGTGACTTTTTGGTTCGAGATATAAATGACTACATATTTTGCACTACAGAATGCTTTGTTACAGATATCTCACTTAATTTATCAGAAATAACAGGTGAGCTATCTACAGTTTGGTATACACAGATAAAGAGAAGCGTGCGTGAGTATACAAACTACTGTTTTAGTATAAGTACAGCTCAGAACATTCAGAGCGATAATCAGTCACAATCTAAAAAAGAAGTAGTCCTAACATTCCTGAATCTATTACAGCGCGAGAGTTCATCGGGTGACAAAGTCACATACGGTCTGTGCATCTATACATCTTTGGAAGGCAACGAAGTTGCTGTTCCAATTATGTGCGAGAAAATGCGAAGGCTTTTGGGTGCTAACATTGATGATGACCTTAAGTCCAAGCATGCAAATTGGGAAAGTAACATTCTTCCTCCACGAGTTGATATTAAAGATATAAAAGAGGATGCTCCTGTTTTTATCACGGTAAAAACCTTTAGCTACACGCAGGCAAACCTTGGAATGCACTATGACATGCTAGCTGCTCTCTTTCATAACAATAATTCTGCACCAGAACTAACATCAGAACCCGCACCAGCACTAAAAAAACTAACAACACCAGAACCAAAGACCGCTACTAGAAAGTCTCCTAGAGCGACTAGAGCTAGAGTTGTTTACACCGAGTAGAAAAAATTCGCTAAAACCTGGCATCTCCTTATTATAATACTGCCAAAAGCACCTACACGCAAGATCATAACCAATTCAATCAAAATCCTCAATACTAACTTTTTAAGCACCTTATGCTCTCACCAATGCATAACACAGAGTGTGTTAGTAAACTCTATTAGAAATAAAATAAAGTATTTTTAAGTAACCCTCTTCTAATCTTTCCGAATTCTACTATATACTACTGTCTCTTAGCTATAATACTATTGTCTTTATCCAATGCACACTATATTTTGTTCTCTTTGTGCTGCATAGTACTAGATATTGCCTATGGCTAAACTCAAGGGAAGTAGAACTCTTTCATTAAGGGGTCTTTGAGTTTTGTCTTTTTTTGTATTTTCTGCGTTCCTTCTCGAAAAATAGAAATAGTGTTGCTAGTGGCTCTATATATATATAGTAGTAATTTTAAACAAATTTTTATCTTTAGTTTTCTTAGTTGGCAACACCTTCTAGTGACAGCAAGCGTTAACAAACCCAAAGGACTAAGTCACTATCATGTAAACAAGTAGAAATTCTTGTGGTTTGCTGGCCTACAGTCAAAACCTGGAAGGCAAAGACCAACATCAAGCTATATTTCTAATCCAGGAAGAGGATTTTATGCCTATAAGGCAAGAAAAACCAACAGATATTTTAAGAAAGTTTTGTTGTTATACATATGCACATTCCTGGATGTACACAATCCGTTTATTCTTTGTACTTGAGGTATTCTTTGTCTTTATCATTTTTTTTAATATTCTTGCACGAGTAGATGGTATTCTTCTAATTTATATATTTTCCGGAATTATTCGGGTTATATCAGAGACCTTATCTTATGCTCTTGAAGTGGTCTATAAATAAAGAATGTTTCCAACTAAGAAAACTAAAGATAGAAATTCATTTAAAATTACTACTATACAGGCCACTGGCAACAAATATTGCTCTTATTGGGCTACTATTTCTAGACCATACTCTTTCTATCCTGCAGCACACCATACAAAAAAGTCTTCAAGTAAGTTTTTTCTTCTTTTTGTATTAAAGACTACACAGCACTGTAAAGGATTAAAATATGCAGTGTGAACAACAAAAAAGAAAATAAAACATGCAAATACGCCTGCAATTCTTTTATGTTTTATATCCAGAATAACCAAAAAACAAATTCAAAATACATATGTGCATTCAGCCAGTTTGATGCAATTATATTTCAGCAATAAGCTTGTAATGAAATTTCTTTATTTCTATTAGAACCCATTGAATCAAACAAACAAATTATTTGGGGTTATTGGCTGAGTAAAATATATTAATACAATGGAAACAGTCATTAATATAGAAAGCATACCTAATGCTGAAATAGCCTCATCTAGCTTAGGTACATCCTCCTGATTATGCATCTCCTTCTTTATTTTTTCGCCAAAGCAGAATGTATATGCAAAGAACGCAAAAATTGTAAAAAGAAAGAGCAACAGCCAAGATAAGCTTGCTTCTATCTCGTGCACCTCTCCTGAAAAAGGATAGATGAAGCCAACTACAAAGGCCAAAACAGTGCATAATATAATCCCTAGTATGGAGATGATATTTCCTTTGGTTTTTCTATTCCATAGATCCCTAATAAGTATTCCAAAAATAGACAGAGTACATTTGACTACAAAAATCCCGAATAAGCCAACCACAACCGAGGACAGTGCGAATACAACTGATTTGAATGAAAAATCAAAATCTTTAAGAAACAAACCAAATATCATAACCATAGAATAAACTATCATTCCTAACAGAATAGAGGCAAGTATAAAAAACGGCACAGTATAGACTATCTTCAGAGGAGAATTCTGTGTAATGTTTGTTCTTATCAAACCAAATGCGCCATGTAAAGAACTCACACGCGCATTTCTTAATGGCGGCGAGTTGTTTTCTCCAGAGCCACTTTCAACATACACAGTTCCTTTCTTATCATTATCCACGTGCTGCAAATCTTCTTCAACAACTGATACTCCCATAGGCACGAGCTCAGTATATTCATGTGCTTCTCCAGCAAGTGAGAGGCCTACTGCATTCATTGTCTCAGCAACCTTCTTCGCACATGCTTTCTCAATATCGTTAAGTGTGCTGTATGCTTCACCTGCTTTGTCTTTTAAGACATCCATGGTTTTAGTCAACACAGATTCATTGTTAAAATTTATTTCTTCTGTGCCCGCATGCATTCCTTCAGTTTCATCCGAAATCTCCATCCTCCAGTCATTTGCACCCGCAGAGGTTGTTGGAAGGTCATTCTTTAGATCATTCTGCTGCTCCGTTAGTTCCTGTGGATTTTCTACTCTTACTTCCATGTCAGACCCATTAGATGGACCGGCAATCATATTGCTCTCATTATTATCAATTAAATTCATGGAAAAATTAATTTTTTCTTAATTTATACGCTTGGCAGTTATATAAAAAGCTGAGTTTTTTCTGAAATATTAGACTT